GAATTAGTTAATATATTGAGTTAATTCCAATACTTGTATTTGAATGTCATCCAATGAAAGTATATTTTCAAAAATATACCTAAGTGACATAATTTGATGCATAAACCACCATTATTTAAGCCACATCCAATTTCTAAATAAACTAGATCAAGAATCATCTAACCTTTGACATATTCCAATATATGAATATCTTTATTACGGCCATCTATCAATCAATAAATTAATATTTTCTAATCTCCTCAAATCCTTATCACTAATAATGATGACATCTTGAGAGAGTTGAATAAAATAACTAACAATAGTAAAAGATTGTAATTACTTAAGATACAAAACTAACAACCTTTAGAGGTGATATTGAGTTATTTGGTTAGATATAATTCTAGTATCTATGTAAATATATTATCTAACAACAAGTCCAACTTCTAATACTACTACCAAATTTCTACCAATGCTTACAAAGAGCTTCACAAAGGTAATACTTTCATCTAGTAGATACAAATGAATATGTTGAGTAAGGATAGATAGTAAAAAAAGAGTTAAATATCTTTAATATGTCTAATAAAAATACAATCTCTTGACATTGGTAGAAGAATTTCGTACGTATTTTCGATAGAAGAGATGGATCCTTTTAGTATCTTGTATGAACTTGTAAAGATGGTAGATTATTTGATTCCATAGAATTGGATATAAATATTAATATCTCTTTTAATAGAACTACTCCATAAGTAAAATTAAATATTAATGTATAACAATCAAAAAAGATTTTTGCTGACATAATAATGGTGATTACTACAATTGTAACTAAAATGAATTCTTTCATTTTATCACTAATAGACCATTCTGATCTAATCCATGCTTCTTCAATCCAATTATCTAACTCAAAATCAAATTGATTAAGTGCATATCAACTAACTAAAATATCATAGTTGGTAGAACTAGTCACTACTCACTTTTAAGATAAGTATGAGTAAAGTAGTCCAAATTTAATAAAAAAATATTAATTGCAATGGTTGCTTGATATAGCCAATATTTTACTTTGTGCCTCTTATTGAAGTAATGATGGTGAAAGGACGAGGCTCCAAGTTTGTAAAAATAAGACCTAATTTTTGATTAAGTCACTTGCCAATTATAATTGCAGTAGCCTCAGAATCCATCATAAAATATGAAGATGTTGTATAAGTGGTATTACCACCAATATCACTAAAAATAAATATGTTATTATTATTAGTTAATTGTACAAATCTTAGATGTAAGTTTTGATGTTTTCAAGTAGGTCTAGTTATAATGTCAAACAAAAATGCTATCCCTATAGCCATTGGCACTTTATTTGAAGGATTTATATTTATTTTCTTTAAGAGACATTCATGAAGCATGACAATAGTTTTAGTTATAATTTTTGCTTGTAACTTAGCCAAATTCTATTTTTTTAAAGGCTTTGTGATTGCTTGAGCTATTTATAATGAGTTATTTATAGAATAGATACTCTACCTTCTAATATTTTATTAGCTAGTTGAAAGATTCTTACTAGTTTAAATTCTAGAGCCAAAAAATCAATACTTAAAAATATATGCATATTCAATACTATGTAGGCCAAATTATATATTGTATCTTTAATACTAATATCTCCATCTTATATTGAAGTTGAATTAAAAAGCCTTCCTATAAAATTAATATCTATAAGGCCAAATAGTAAAAGCAATGGCACATGAATATTAAGATCTCTACAATTTCTTGGATAGCCAAACTAAGTGAAGGTACCATATTCTTAGCCATTAAGCTACTTGTGGCAATTGCATTCATGAAGCTACTTGTGGCAATTGTGTCATGCTTCATGAAGCTACTTGAGGCAGTTGCAACCTCCTTAGGCATAAACACATCTGTCATTCAGGCTAACATATCAATAGCATAGTACTAACAAAGTATCCTATTGTATTTCCCAACTTCAACAAACACTTATATCAACTATGCCTTATTGTTATAGTTGAGAATAATTCTTGATGTATCTAAATCCAAGAGTCTCTTATCAATCTTACATAAGAAGATCTTGACAATGTGATTCTCTACAAATACACTACTCAATTCTATTTCAAATCAAATCAAACAAGTATACATAGTATATAAAAAATTATCATTTTCACGTCAAAAGTCTTGAATGCATTGCATTTGATTATTTCTAAAACCTCCATATTTATGTTTTAAGTATTTAATATATATTTGGAGAGGCTCAAATGATGGTGGCTCTTCTATTGCAAATAAATCCACCTTCATTGCTAGAGCCATTTATGACAAAGTGGATAGAATATTGAATAAGGAAGTAACTATTTTTTTTTTTTTTTTTAATGACTTCCAAAGATGCCTCCACTTCTCTTTGGATTGAATCTTCTTCTTTCACTATAGGTATTAGACTTGAGATAGCATCTTTTTTAAGAGCTAAAATAAAATATATTTTTATATTTCAATAATGCTCTACTTCTTCTAATTTAAGTGAATGTTCTTCATTCCATCTCCTATAGGTTTGAAGTGCCTCATGCTCCAAATATTATAATAAGATTTCAAAGGCATACTACTTATTAAAAGTGGAAGATTTTTTATGCTTCTTCTTCATCTACATTTAAAATTTAAGTTTTTAGTTTGGCAAAAAAATACCCTCGACTTGTCTTGAAAATTGTTCTCTCACCATACTGCAAAAATTATCCTCAATCTCAAAAACAATGTCCACCTCCAAGATTAAAAGGCTCCTAGTGGTATCTAATACTGAAACAAGCTAAAAAACCTCGTTAGTATCCACTATTGGTCCAAAGTCCTTGATATAATCACTATCCAAGTAGTTTGGTGAAAGAGATCGATAATATTGATTCTTAGTATACACCATAAAAGAGACTATTTGGGTACTTGTAAATATATAAAGCCTTAATGGGCAACTTGCATCTACAAACACCACCAAGTTTTGCACTTCACCAATCATCACCTCTAAATCACTACAAGTCCAATATATCTATGAGCAAAAAGATCTCATTGGCTATCAATCTGACATCATTCCTATTGTATATTTATATATATAAACTAGTACAAACACAAAATGAGATAACCACAAAAGACCTTCAAAAACAATACTTGGAACTAAGAGAAGGTACCAAAAATAAAATCCAAAAATCTACATTGGGTCATTTTTCAACAATACAAAAAGAGAAATCAAAAGTGAATTAGAGCAACCAGCACCTACCTACGATCGATGTTCACAAATTATAAAATCTATAATAGTACAAGATAATTGAAATAAAATGAAATGTAGAGAAGTGAGAGAAATTCAAAAATTCACATAGAAAGCAATTGGTATTTAATAAATACTACTTCAATGCTCTAAATGATCTCCACTTCAAAAATCAAGAATGTCCATGAGTTTTTTATACCTCTTCTATATAAAATTGACTCAAAAATGATCAAATTTGGACTCCATACACATTTGGAGTGAGCTTCTAAAATTAAGACTTAAGAGTTATGGACAATGTTTTATTTTTATTTTTATGATCCTATGACCATGCAATGAATCTATGACTATAGGATCTTATCACCATGGTCTTATGATTACATGATAGAATTTTCAAGATACACTATATAGTATTTGCACAATGCAAGTTTTACAAAATTAGATTTGCATAACTTTATATCACTCTCGCCTCCGATTATAGGTGGCACATAGCTCGATAAACAACAAAACAAAATTAAAATTTGATAATCTCCAATATAAACTATACTTGCCTTTCATTTTTTATTCACTTTGTCGCTCTGCTTTATACAATCTAGTGCACAATAAATTCGACATTGTATGAACAATGCCTTATGCCATACTGTACTTTGAATAGTATTCAAAATAATAAAAGAAAAATGACCACAGCTCATTATCATGTTGCGACTGTATCAATAATTGTGACCATGCCCACGTCTCTTTTGTGCCGACAAACTCTTGCATAATAATCCTTGCTTATGACTTATGATTTGTCTCTACCTTCTTGTACATTACAACCTTGTACCTGTCACTACCGCTCTAGTACTATCATGATACATTGTCACTCTAATACAATGGCCTAGTAAGATTCCAACATCCAGTACAATAATGCATAAAAACTTGCAGCAAAGAAAATCCAAATTATAATTTATTTATTTATTTATTTATTTATTTGATCTACTTCATTCTAATTTGTTATACCACAAATTGAAGAGAAGGAGAGATTCTTGTCAAGTAAAAGATTAGAAATCTACACCAAACCAAGACAAGCTATCTCTCACACCACAAAAGAAGAATTCAAGAATGCAAGTGTGAAGATAGATAAAATCTTAAAGCTTTATTAATTGGCTAAATCGCCAGAGCCAAACTAATCCTTGTAATAAGTTTTTTCTTTTTCAAAAATCACTCACAAGACTTGACAAGAATGTCAAGTCAAGGGTTTTTTTCCACCGAAGTATTCAAATTCTAAATGACATGATTAAAGTCAACTAATATAAAAACTATCAATAGGTGAAAAACTACTAATCAAACTAAATTACATACATTCAATGGGATTTGACATTCGATGCTATATCACATGACATAATCTAAACCAAACAAACAAACAAACATACTTCTTTTCTACTCTAAAGCAAACATACATACTTTTTTCTAAACTAAACCAAACAAATATACTTTTCTTTTTCCTTTTTCCTTTTTTCTATTTTCTTTTTTCTATTTTCTTTTTTCTATTTTCTTTTTTCTCTATGAGTTCTATCCACTTGTATACAAACCTTGTTAGGTTTCTAACTTCCTTGTCTACCTACATAGTTCTCTTGCCAAGCAGATACAGCTAGACCGGCGTCCAATACTAATATCTACTGTACTCTTGCTTTCACCTTTTCCCGAGCTAACTGAATTAAAAAAGAGGCCATCTTCATTGATGGCTGCATTTTTTCATAAAGCAACCGAGTGGAAGAGACTTGTGGATGTGGGTTTCACCACGCTTGCCAGATCCCATGAGTATTACTTTATAGATCCAAACCGGGATACATATAAAAAGTAGAAAATAATAAAAGGGCAGGAGCTTCGAATGACAATCCTTAAAAAACTAGTATCTAGAATCAAGAGCATCCCATTCTTCTTAAAATACTTTAAGAGAACAGTTACACGAAAAAAGACAAAGTGTATCGAGAGTCAAATTATCACAAATTACTGAAGGATTCCTACTGCTACGATGACTTGCCATATCCTATTGAATCTACACATTTGCTCCAAATTCACTACTAACAAATGATAGCTGTGCTGAAGTGGTGCCAAACTTGACCACCAGCCAAGTATTATAGAAGCCTAAAAATGAGCTCACTACAGCAAGGAATTATCCTACTCTGATTCTCCGGGCGGAGAATCATTGGATGCAGCAATTACTATCCGCTGGCATTGATCGTAACCGAGTGATCTCTCGTGTCAGTCGCTGCACATGAAACAGACAAGAAGTTGGACATCAGGTACATTGTTGTTACGAACATGTAGAAATTCTAGAGGCGGCAACAACACTCTTACTTACAGAGGGAATTGCATGAATCAAAGTTGGTTAGAATCACCTCTCGAGTATCTGTGATACGCAAATATTGCAATCGCTCCCTTCCTGGTATGTTCATAAGATTTGCAACCTGCATAAGATTGAAGTTGTCAGTGTAAATTTAAAAAGAGAAAAACTTATTTTGAACTTTGGTTAAAATCCAGATCCCGGCTGAATATCCAACTGACATGGTTATCTTAGCATGTATCCTATCTGGTAGGAGTTCCGAAGAAACCTAATTCAAGGATGAGGATTGCTAAAGCGTGCAACATAAACTGCGGAAGTGCCATCAAGTCAGAAGGTAGATGTGCTTTTCACAATCTTGAAGTGATGTAGGTGATAACTGATACTATTGGAAGTTGTAGCTTTCGACATGTTAGGAAAGATTGTAGTAGGGTGCATACCCAAAAGCTGAAGCGCTCAGGATCTGAGGCACTAGGCATGCCTTCTGTACGGTTCAACATCTCTAACAAGCGACGATCTGCAAAAGTCCCGCACGTCAACAAAATGTCAAGAAACTTACCTTAAGATATAAGGCAAAAATGTTAATGATGATTCTCTATTTCTTCTCGCATATTCTACTGCAATGAAAATAATCACTTAGACATTTGACATTAAGAGTATGTGTGTTTACAGGAGTTAAAAAAATGTCACGTATGGAGTTATTTCACCTGAACGGACTGCAATATCCCTGACTCGACTGATGAAGGCGTTTACCAAGTCAGCTGCTGTCCGCACACTTTGGGCAAGCTGATACCAAGAAAGTATTTGACATAGTCTTAGATTGCGGTATATAAAATTCAATTTGAATCATTACAAAGAACTGTACGTTCATGTAATAAGATAACTTCATTGAATACAAAATAATAACAATGGCAACACTGCATTCAAAATTATTCTAACAAGTTGAAAGTTTTGGTTCAACAAAATATCTAAATTAACTAGGTGAACTCAGAAATGGAAATATGATGCAGGAACATGCGAAAGTAAGAGACAGTGACAAAATAAGAACCTCATCTTTCTCCGGAGAACCATCTGGATGAACCACGTCTTGTAACCATTGCACTTTCGCTACACGATATCTGTTCATTAAGATGCACAATTAACGCATCTAACAACTTCAAAATGAGCAAACTGTTCAGTCTAGCACGGCATTTGCACGAACTATATAGTTGATACAAACTAAACTACCAACCTACATATCATAAGAGCAATATGCCTATTTCAAAAATCTGGGCAGGCTAAATTGAGAGACGTACAGATTATTTGACCAATCATTCCATGGAATCTATGAAAGAATCTTGAGAAGATTTGATGTATGAAGTTAAATGCAGGTTAAACATGAAGCTTTCAAGAAGCAATCAATCCGTCACTAGGTTAAAAGTCACTTCAGAACCGATATTTCAAGCTCACCCGTCTTGCTCCCATGTCTCTGTCATTCGAAATCTACGCTTTCCAACAACCTGACCGTGAGAGAAAAGATCAGATTGCATCAATTGTAAAATACGAGTAATGCTTTTTACCTAGCCAAAGATACATCACGAGCCAGCGCCACATATCTAGAGATTATATTTCGCTATATTTTTCAGTTTCAGCCACTAAGTACTAGAACTCTATAAACCTGTTAGTGTCATAAAAATCAAAATGCAATAAAGAAGAATGCATGCTGACCTCAATTTCAAACCGTCCATCGGGAAGAGGTTCACATCTGCACACGGACAGAAAATTAGATTCCAAATCTTAAGGCAGATGAAAGAGAAAGAACCCTGATCTCTGACACTGAAACTCACTCAGTGATTTCGACTTCGCATGCCACCTCCGCCAAGGAACCCGATTCTTCAATACGCACCTGACACCCACGTCTGATTATCAACAACATTGCTTGCGATATCCAACGAATATTTTTGTACTTCGTTAGCAGTATAGGACACTAGAATCGCGGTGCTAGATTATAAATACAAATTTACTTCCAGGACATTCCATACCTACACATTCCAGACATCCCAGGACATTCCATAATCCTTTCAGGCTTTTGCAGCAGCTTAGGAGTGGGTTTACGTACCATTCCCATACGATGATTGCCTTCCACGACTCGACGTATCTGCATCGAAACGGAGTGCCTTCAGACCCGTTTAAAGAGGCTCAAACTGCATAGGCAATCGGGTATCACATCTAGAGTAACTTCTACTCGGCCCACGAATATTCCTTAAATAGAAAGCATACATACCATGAGCCTGTATCGTGGTTCAAAGATATTCAACATCAATTGCTGCATTGGAAGGACTACATCCATTACAAAGAGCGGCAAGGTCTCTCCGCCAGCAAGAGAGACAGCGTCCATTTCAGCTTTCCTCTCCGCAAACTCTTCGGGAAAATTTCGTTGAATCAAATTGTTGAGAGTTACACTGCAAAACCATAAAAAGAAACCGTGTTAGAAAAGTGTGGAAATTCATCAAGACCGGGAACCAATACTCGAGTGAACCCCGAGGAGACGACATCAGAACATCAGAACAAGTAAAATACCTGACTGGATAGGTCTTGGGGCTCACAAAAATTACCGTCCTGCACATTGGACATTTATTACCTGCACTTTCATAATGCAAATAAATAGTTAGGATTGATCTAAGAATGAATGAGCGGAGAAAGGCATTAGCATCTCACAAGAGCAGGGTACTTCCAAATCTTCATTTAATTACAGCAAGCAGGCGTCAAGTATCACCGTGATCAAGAGCCTGAAGAAGACATGCTCGACAGAATGAATGGCCGCAGGGTGTAGTGATTGGCTGATGCAATAGTTTCAAACACAAGGTGCAATCCAGATCATCTGATCGCTTCAACTTGCGACGTTTGCTATCATTTTGTTCTACACCCTCCATTAAAATTTTAACCTCACGCAATCCTTCCTGAAGTGGTTTGCTGCATAACAACAACATAAAATTACGAACTTCGTTTCTATGCTCAAAGAGAGAAAAACAACATTCCTTCTGTGAAAATCAGCTAAAAGTACGGAGTATGAATTCCAAAGAGAAATATCATTACAATAAATGGGTTCATATTGTCAAAGAGAAATGCCACAATACTTGGATTTCCATTAGTTGAGTTCACTATTTTTTTGTACACATGCACAAAGAAGTACTAAATGAGCTAAGGCCTCAGAAAGAAAAGAAAAAGACTTTGCATGAAGAGATGTAACTCCAGCATGATGGAGCAACAGAATTATGCTTCGCTGTTAGGAAATAACTCATTTAATGGACAGAGATAGTTGGAAAAGAGTGCTATAAAATATTTTCAGAAATTATTGAGGCATATACTGAGAAAACATGGATTAGATGAGGTCTTACTTCATGGGATCGATCTCCAGTCCAGACAGGTAGGTCTCCACTGCTGCTTCATACTGCTCCAGCTGAAAACCACCCCCATACACGTCATCAATACCATGGACGAATGCCTTGATGTAATAAGTAACTTACACTAGTTCTTTTCTAAGAACATCGATAGAAGGAGTCCAATGAAAGACGAAAATCAGTCGAATACATTAAACAGAGAAGCCTTCCGTCCAGGGATACACAATATGAATATTGGGCACTTGAAACATTACTTTGATCTCAAAGATACAGATGAGTTTAACACTCACAAACGACCATACAAGAGCAAAGTGAACATTGAGCTTATTAAATTATGACGACCAGAGAATTTAGAGTTCATTCAGTACAAGTACTTATTCTCTAAAGTGAATAGAAACTCAAAATATTGGGGTAAAGACGACATACCAGTACTTGTGCCGTAGCCTTGCGTAAATAGGCCTTAGGGTTGTCACTTTGAAGCTTCACCAATTTCTCTGAATCCTTCAACGCTAGCTGAAACGAAAGGAGTAAAACCCAAAAACTTCTTCAATCAATATCTTCTTACATGTAAATATAGAGGGGGCTAGTTTACTGAAGCACGGCATGAGGAGGAAATGAGACAATGACCAAGAAGGAAACTCTCGATGAGTTAAGTATGAGAACGCATTTATTGGTTACGGCCTTACTTGTCCAAGTGTCATAGGATCCAACTCTAACATAGCAGATTCCTCTGATGTTCGTGCTGGTCTCAACCGTATACCTTGACTGTACCTGCATGCAATGATATTAGAATCAGGCACTGGCTGAGATCACGAAACATTTGCAATCTGACATCGTCTACTGCTGTTTGAAGCACGACGAATAAATTTGAAAGCATCCAATAATCATTTCAGTTTACCCCACTTTGAGTATAAATGTTATTGTCAAACTCAAGAGAAATGAGTACCATCCCACACAAAAGGCCGGAGAACTATGACGCTGTCCATAACAATTTTCAGGATATACCACTGGATTTAAATGGTATTCTCTAGAAAGGTAATGTTAGACGTGCAGGTATGTGAAACAGGGTTTAGGTATGGAGACTAGGTCTGTACTTGCAGTATGCAGCGCAGCGGTTACTGTACAGCATAGCTTGGTCTAGACAATTAGCATTGAGTGCTTTTGTGTAACACAAAATGGCCTGCAAAAATGACAAGACAAAATAAAACTTATCTTAGCTAAAGTCAGCCTTCCTTCTTCCCAATTTAACTGGAGGTATATTCCAACTTGAATAAGGTAATAAAGAAACAAAGGGACAAACCTCCTTAAATCTTGAGTTTCGGAAATCACGGTTTCCTCTCCTGAGAAACTCAACTGCAGCATTCTTCTCAGGAGACGTCTCTCCTTCTCCATCAACTAAACTCTGCAAGGATCGCCAAGTTCACAATGAATACTATCATTGAACCAGAACAAGCTACACAAAACTCTCCATTTTTGTAAAATCCAGAACTCTACTCGCATCCCACAATCAGAGCTTTATAAAGCCAAACAGGTCAACAAAGTCAAAAGTTTGGGAGGAGTTGTGAACTACTCACAAGATCCTTTACATCTTCAACGTCATCTTCGTTAGCCATTGCCGAAGAAACCACTGTGATGATTCCTGAAATTACCCCGAACACCATGATCAGAATGTAGGCAGCATTGATTAACACATCCAAGAGACTTGGAAGGTGAACGAGGTTCGATCAAACTGATAAAGCAAGATGGGTATGTTCTGAATTCAGCTCTAAATCAAGCACAAATGTGACCACTCAATCTTAATGGGCTTTGAGCTGCGTATAGAGAATTCAAATGCCACTAAAATCTTATCTCCCAGAAACTTTATACCCCAATGTAAAATGCGTGTAAACCCAATCAATTCTTGAAAAACGCCTAAACTGAGTAAGAACTTCACAGAACCAAAAGCAGACTGCACACAGGCATAGAATTGTGCCAATTCCAAGAACCCTCAATGGACTTCTACAAGCACAGCTGAAGCAGAATTCGCACATGACGGCGAAGGAAATGACGGGGCACATACCTTAGACCCCGATGAACGCAATTCGCAATACCACAAACTAGGCAACACGATGTCTGAAGGCGAGAATCGAATCGGGAACGAGAATCGCGGTGAGAGTTACACAGTGGGTTTGATAGCGTGACCCAGGATTGAGAAAGTGATCGAATCCAGGATTGAATGCTAGGCTGAGAAGCTTGGAGTCCAGCAAAGTCTTCAGGGAACTCCTGCTAAGAAATGAGTCCACGTCGATGGATTTCGCGTGGGCCCGGCTTCGTGGCACTTGCCAATCTTTTGATGCTTTTTTGCTTTGTGGGAAATAAGTTAATATGGCTTTTTCGGGCACCGAGTGCTGGAACAATCCAGTTTGCAAGGTTGTCGCAGGGTTTAGTTTCTTTTTTATGGTTAATCCAGTGCATTCGTGTATCGCTTTGATTACCCTCTGATGTACCAGTGATTCTACAAAATATCTTATTGTCAAATTCGACTCTCACGGTACCCTAATCCAAATTGGATTAAAACTACGTTGAATTAATAATAATCATAATAGAGTGCTAGGAGAATTGAATAACGTTGTAATGACAGTCAGAGGCGTAGTGTAAGTTCATTTTGTTTAACAAAATAAAAGAAGAAAAGATTAGTACGATATAAAAAAAACAAGAACTAAAAATAAAAAGGTTAGTGTACAAGAACGGAAAAATCGAGCCATTTCTATTGTTAGGTCTTCGCAATATGATTCGAGTATCAAAATCTCTAGAGTGGACTCTTCCTTTGCATAAGAATACATCTACGATCTCTGTCGCAAGTGCATCTACTCCTAAGGTTTGGAGTCTAACTTTGCTAACAGGCGCTGAAGCATACAAGGTTACAACCACCGCATGGAGAGGGAATGAACATCACAAGGTTTCGTGAACATGAGAAAGAAGCAGGATCGAAACAATTCTAATGTCCCAGACACTGGAAGAATCTTATACAGAATGAAAACTGGGTGCAATTGAGAGGCGGCTATATATGAAATAAGTGCATCCGATGTAGAAGTTGTACCATCCAGGAAGCAATCTCTAAATGTGCTGTATTCTTTGGGATGGAATTCGGAAGTGTACTCTTTCAGATGAGTAAGCGATAAAGTGCTCATCACAGTTCCCTTCCCCTCTTGAATTTACCTAACTCTACTTTACCACAAGACTTATGACAGCGAACACTAATATACAACAGAGTCCTGACTGGAGCACCAAAATTGCCTTCTCCGACCGCCCAAAATGTTCGGCTGCTCGATTATTTTCTGTGGAAAAGAATGGATTTAAGGTACAATGTGAAACTATGTTACAGAAATCACTTCCTAACCCGAGGAGTCCTCCCTGCAGGGGCACTTTTTCTTCGTCCGGACTTGGAAGCCCCCCAGTCTTCATCACTTTCATCATCACCTGATACATCATACTCCACAGCTGTAGCAGCCACGCTTTTCCTTCTTTGCGTTACACGACTTACAAGATGTCCGTTAGTGTGAGGAGAATCGGCATCAACTTGGGCACGGCTTGGTCGCTTCTTCGTCGAGATATTTGCAGTGTAAACAGCGTAATCGACAGAATCTTCTTTCAGCAATCGCTTAAATGCCTGGTTGCACGCAACAACACGTTTCAATATCTCAACAGTTCCTGTACAGCATCATTATTACAGAAGCAGAAATATGAGAACAGGTTTAGTGATGAGACATCAGTTACCTTATATTGTTCTAGCATCTGTCGAACTGTTGTTGGGGATTCAACAGGTAGTTCCTTCAAGTTGAATTCTTTCATACTTTCTCGTTTAGAAAGCATATCAACAGGTTTGATAACTTCAGTTGGTTGATAAGACTGAGAAGTTCCAATGGCCAAATGTGAGAAACTTGATCTGATTAGAATCCATCTATGCGGGTTACTAAGCCAACGCAAGAAACGCAAGAATCAAAGTTTCATCACTCCAAGTACTAAATTCCATCAGCCAAGAGGCTAATAGCTTGAGAGTGTTCGGACTTCTACAGAACTGGCGAACGTTCATTAATACATAAAGCTGTTTTAAGTCCCGGATCACGTTCCAAAACGAAGAAAATAAAACTGACTTCAGATCATTCATCGAAAAGTATTTCGACTATAACTCCTCTTACCTGGCATCGAGCATCGTTCAAGCAATACACTATCTTCAAGTGCCTCTTGAGCCGAAGCAGCAACGCCAAAGCCATGGCTGAATTGCAGTATCCCTACGTCACTCGTACCAACAACAATCAGCAACAGATAAAAGAGTAAAAACAAGGGATCGAAATTGCCGTGGGTTGAGTAATGTGAACAAAGTCTATGACAGAAATTAAAGTTGATGTTGAAAGACCAAAATTAGACTCAGCAGTTAAGCCGAAGTCGAACAGCGGTATGATACCTTGAGCTTGTCCAAAATATCCTGAGGAATTCCTTCCGTGTCAACCATTTCAATAGAGACATCCTTTTTAAATTCGTACTGCATAGAATTAGGATTCAAAGCTGCCTCTTCTATCCGATCTTTCTCTGCTGCAATACTTTCTAGAACCAGTTTAGTCGTTGCCCCCAATGCCCCTTCAGTAATAATGGTCTTCATATTTGCCTCCAATTCTCCTCCTCGTACCTGAACGACCCGATTGATAGTGTATACGACATAGAGAGGTTCATCGGGTATTCCAAATGGAAGTGCTGACAAAACCTCCGAACAATATCTGCAGGATCACGAAAGCACTGATCAGATTTCATGACAAAGTAACAACAAGAACTACCAGAGTCGATGTATAGGGAATACTTTCCATGTTTAATCAGTCAGAGTGTCGTTACAACCCAAGTTTTCCATTGTACAAACAAACATGAATCAGTAACTAACATTAGTTGTTCTAAAAATATTGAAGTAAACCATTTCCGCCTTCACGTCAGATCAAGTCCAACTGGCGCATGGTGAGATAAACTTAAAATAAAACAAGGGTAAACTTACACCAAGAATGGAACAGATTGAATGCCAGAGGCTCCAAAATCAAACTTTCTGATCACAGATGATAAGAATTTGTTTCGAGAATTTCGACTGGTTCTTATTAATTTGTAAATTCGAGAGATGCCAGGCTTCGCAAACGATGCAGGGATGCTTGGATCCTTGAGTTTAATCGCGGCAGGTTTCGTAGGAGAGGTCCTGTGCTCACAACTTGCTGCCCCAGATTGTATGAAAGCGAACGACAGAAGGAGGCCATCCCCTAGTCGACTCTCAAAAAATGAGGGATATCTACAAAATAGTAACAATAAGTTATAATAAAGTGAAATCACACACGCATCCATGAACTGCAACCGTACCACATGCACAAAGATTTGATATCTAAAGCTTTGATAACGGTGGTCATAATGTTAACTATAAAGCTTCACAGAATAGCATATCACACCTGAAAAATCTTTGAAGCTAATGGAGATAGACGTACTTTTCATTCATGTGTAGCAATAAACGATGTGCAAGTTTCCAGTTCACTTCCAGCTGGTCCACTTCCAATGCAATGAGTTGGGGAACGCATGTCATTGGATGCACCAAACCCTGCCGCAAGACAATCTCCACCACCTGAAACAATGAAAGAAAAGAAAAATGTTAAAAAACAATAAATGTATGATGTACTTCAAAACTAAACACATGACTTGGGAATCTTGCTACGCAATAAATTGATTTTAAACAGAAGACATGTGTCTAGCAAGTCGCCCAGCCATTCTGCCAAGTATGAGCTTTGTGTATGCACATGGCTCCTGCCATAAGTACATACCAAGTAGAATACCAGTTTTATTACAGAAAATGAACACTTGACACCGGATTAACAGCAAGATTCTTCTGCTTCTTGTGCACATGATTAGCAGTGACATAAACTCACTTCATTCTTCAGGATTTTGGAAACATTCAATAACACGTATAACAATCATACTAATTGGGTGGAGATCAGAGTGGTAGACCTTCAGCCCAGTTTGACGCACTTCCTCGTTATAATCCAAACATCTCTCTAGGATTAGATCCCAATGCAACTGGATAATACCACCACAAATATTGCTGTCCCCAGCACCTGCCGCTACTGGGACAGCACTGTCACCGTTGGACTTTTCATCTGTCTCCCCCATTTTCTCCTCAACATCAAGAAGATAATCGCTGAAATTTCGAAGCATTTGCATCTGCCAAGTAAAAAGCCATATCATCTCAGAGTGAAAGTTAGCACAAGAAATGAAAAAATGTTTACCAATTATAGAGCAATTCACTTACAAGCAGAACAATAAATTTCTAAAAGCAAGAAGCTACAAGTTATCACATAACTAATTGGATTATTATCAAAAAGAACAAACGAAAAAAGGTGTGACTATCCAGAAGCCCCACCTTGATGCGCGAATCAGCAGAAGCATTGAGCGTGGTTTCAAGAATCTTGTCCATGTTCTTAACCATCATAAACTCGGGTCTTGCTATGAATATAAAACCCAACGCCTGCAGACCATCACAGTGAATGAGTTCCAAAAAATATGAACAACCCACTTTCACAAACGCCAACTCACAAAAATCCCATCATCAAGAATCAGAGAAAGGAAACAACACCGCAAACAAAACAACAATGTCGCAATCCTGATTCAAATTAAATGTCACACCTTGAAATGGGATGAAATTATGTACAAATAAAAAAACAAATTGTGTTACAGTATGTCAACTTTGCAGACATGTCTTTCCACACAATACAGACTCTGGCTACAAAACAAGTAGAACCCCCATTCAGACATAAGGAACAATGTCCCCACCTGCAAGGCCCGAGCTTTAATATCAAAATCACCCTGCCCCAGAAAATATTTATACAACTCCAGGAACTGGTTCATGTTGATATCTTCATCCTCAAGAGCCTCAACAGACTCTGATCCGTATCGAGCCAAAAGACCCAAACAGAACAAGCACCGCAAAATGTTCTGCACAAACAGTATCTCTAATCAGTTTTCTCTAGAAGTATACTATGCACAGTTTCAATTACGCTGCAATAAGTTGGGCTTATTCTGATATTGCACACTAAGCATAATTGCTATGGTTATGCAACAGCTATTGATCCAACTAATGCAAATACATTTACTCCAGTTTACTTACGGCTTTCTCAGCAGCAACAGAATCTCGTTTTTGGCACCCGTCGAGAAGTTTAAAGAACTGGCGAACAAGGAACTCAAAAGATGCAATTCCTTTTGATGCAATCTTGCTTAAAGAACAAAGACTCCTGATACATAGAATAAAAACAAACCATGTTCAAAGATTAGATCCTCTGAATCCCACAGTGAAGGTAACGTGCTCAAAAAATTCAATTCCAACGATTCAAATTCACCATGTAGTAATACTGCAAACACTAGAGGATATTCATCAGAACGTTTGAAACTACCATCGAGGAATACTCAAAAAACGTCGTTTAAGGAAAGAATGCTTTGAACAAATTCATATGAATAGTGGTGAAATGATTATGGGGCTTCAATTTGATGAAGAATGGATGTTTAAGATAGTCGAATGTTTACTTTATGCATGCATGGACGACTGTCAGAAAAGTGCACGAGGCAATTAGCTGGCGCAGATCACGTTCAAGCTCCTCCACAAAGCTCTGTGGAGGTCTCCGTAATAAAGGAAGCACAGCATCAATCACAAAGATAATACTCTGTAATAATTGAGCTGCATCCCGACTCGAAACCTGCTCAACATGCCAACACAAGCTGAAGCTTACGCCCATACATCTAATTCTCAAATCGTTACCTTATACAAGCGATATAAACAGTAAAATAACAAAACGAAGAACGAAATAAATCTGACCCACTGTATATTCATAGCCTATATCGCAAAGTATTAATGAAAATGCTGTTTAAATAACAGTGCAAGCAAAGATTTGATTGTCATGATTGAAAAGACCGCACATTATGCCATACAGACAATGTAAGTTAGTTGTGACTTCACCACCATAACAAAGCATCATCGGCATCTTTATACCACTACAAACATAATTTACTGATACTTTGACAGAAGTTTTCTAACAAATGTTTTAAGGATGATGACCATCATCATTTGGTCAACAATGTTAAGAGATAAGAATCTCGAACATACCTGAGTCTTCAGATAGGGCTGGAGAGTCACGGCAAAGCGAGATGGATCTGATGGTGGTGCGCACAGTGTAGGGTCAACAGTGCAAAAAGCATGTAACGCCAAGACATAGGGCAAGGCCCGAATATCTGTATCATCCGTAGCTGTTTCTTCTACCTGCGGGCAACCATATACCATACGTTAATCAAGTGAAAGGAAATACCGAACTAATTTCGCTGTTATCTAAAATTACTGGAAAGACCAAGCCATTTCGACACCAGAACAAACTACAGAAGTACGCCAAATTTACCTTCAGCACGCTCTCAAGTAAGCACTTGCACATCAATTCACAGCGAAGCCTAACAGCAGCTTGAGTCATCATGCTTGTTGCTGAATTCTTTATGTTTTGAGGACAGAAGTCCAATGATAGACTACGCTTTATGATAGTAACCATGGCTTGGTGGCTAGTGAGTTTTCTGAGCACATCAACCAGCTGTTGTGCTCTCTCTGCAATTTCCGAAGGGACCACACTTCCATCACCCAAATGCTGGGTATGATGCCTTGTTGGCTCATCAAACCAAAGCTCAAAAAACGTTTTCCCAACAAGATCCTGCAGAAAGGTTCAGCAATGCCAACTGCTTACATACGTAGCACCAATACCTACTAAGGCACGTGTAGTGGATAAGAAGTTGAAAACTTGTCGAAATAGCAGAATAAAAACAGACAGGCGTCATAATGATAGATCTACATATCCGCACATAATCTATATAAACACAACAAGAAATATACCCTCAAAGTGAGGAACCATAGTTACCTGTATACTTGTTTCCTCATCATTGATCCTTGAAATGATGCGAAGACAGCCATCTGTCATCTTGGAAAACCCCGCGTTGGACAAGCAAACGTCTCTGATGATCTTGATAACCCGTTTTCGAACACTTACACCAGTATCCATAATACGCTCAGCAATTTTTTCAAAATACTGCAAGAGCAGTCTCTCCAAGAAATTAGTGTTATGAAAGATGTGGAGACAGAAAGATTTAAGAATTTTGCTAGCTTTGAACAACCAAAATAAGCAATTTTCTGAGTCGGTGTCGATAAACTAATGAACCAATATAAATTCAAGAAACAATAAATCCCACAGCCCCCTACACATGAGGTCATGTACTCAAAAAAATGCCCAATCAAAATAAAGGACGAAACGAGATGCTGCAGTGCACCAGTGTGTAGGCCTCAAAAATATTAATTACCTTGTAGCCAACTGTCCGTGAGAAGGTCTAAATGTAAAATAAACAAGAAACACCAGAACATCCATCACCAAAAGGAAGCAATGTATAGATGAAACACGATTGAATACCTTCAAAGCGAAATCAGGCCGGTTAACTATGTGTCTACCGACGAGCTCCATGGCAGCCTCTCGAACAGAAATCGCTGAGTCAAGAAATCGTCCTTCCACAGCTCTCTGCACTCGCTCGTCACCTAAAACACTTGGATCCACTTCCACAATAGCACCCACCTGTATGGTTTGCACCCAAAGTTACTATCATACAATCATCCATGTAAGATAAGTGGAAATAATATTTTTCCTCCATGAATATTTCAGTTTTCGTCAAAAATACAGCGAGACAATTACAACGGTCGAAGTACTTCTGACAACTTAGTGAGCTCCACAAAAATGAAACGAAATAGGAAAAAATAACGCGGCATACCGCTCGCAATGCTTTTGCTCGAGGAGTTGGTGAATTGTCCGTAAGACTGACCTGCAGCAGCAAAGGAGGCCAAAATCCAGCAACCAATAAAAAACATTAACCTACTAGAACAAATAATTAATTTGCTTGCCGTTAAAATGAGGAAGATTTCAAAAAATTGAGGTGAAGAAACACAGCCCAAACCCTGAGGACCACCAGAATTTCGTCTAGCAAGACAAAACTTCAGACAAAAGCCTCTTACTAGGCTGTACTAGGCCAATTACCAATAATCTCTCCAATATCTTGTCAAGTCCTCTTGCAAGTGGCCTCTGTTGACCCAAAGCTCTTGATATCCGAAGAGCAGCATCGCGTGAAAGAGGAGAGAGTGCAATGCCAAAGTCCTGAAAAGGCGACTTGGAGTTCCAACGATTTTGGTAAAATTGGATGATTTGTGCGGTTTGCACCTCGTCCCGTAGCCACTGACACAAATAAAACCTGAAAAGAACAAAAACAATTAAAGAGCGTTCAATATACAGTAAAATGTTAACTTCGAATTGGGTCCGAAAATCATAGAGATAACATTCACTGCATACCATCTGCACATTCTGAATCAAGTAAACAGACGTTTTCATCATACAGGATTAGGAAGGAAAAAGTTATAGAACGAAAAACCTCAAGAAGGTAGGCAAGCTTTCATCACAGTATCTCGTTTTCAAAAATATATATACCTCCTCATCAATCAGGTTGATTACAATTTTGAGAATACATTCAAAATACTAGTTGGGACACACAATGCTAGTATGACGATATACACATTGCAGTTACCGTCATACCTGCGGGCATATATTGCCGTACTGTCAGTGACAGTCAACTCCTGAAGGTAGTTAAGTAGAATCTGCTGCACAACAAGTATTCCTTCTTTCGTTGTTCCGACTTTCTCTGCTAATGAAACTTCCTTAGAAGGCTTGCTTCCATTGGACTGACATTTATCGTTTGAATAAAGTAAATCTATCTGATTCTTACACAAACAGCAATGGCAAAGCCAGCCTCGATCCACTTTGTCATGCTTGGTAACTCCAATGCAATCGCCATGAAACCACCGGTTACAACCATTACAGGACACCATGAGCTTTGTGCTCTTTCCTTTGTCACACGCTGAACAGCTTCGGGCTGATGCTTCATCACTATCAGAATCAATATTAAAGTCTTTGTCTTGAAGTGCTTGCAGAATCCACAACTTGTCTGTACTGCAAGCAACTGAATCCTCTTTCAAGCGAGCTGCCACCTGACCAAGAAGGTCAACTGAAGCACCCCGTAGAACAGCATCTTTTGCTCTAATGCCGGCATTACCGAATAAAAGTACACAGAAAACCTGAATACAAAAAAGTTAAAAGTTAAGGTAATATGATATTCCAGAGGCAACAACACACACGCCCGTCTTTCGCCCCTCTTTAACTCGAAATGGGATTAAACTGAAAATGGATGAAGGAAGCATTGGATATATACATGGTGGACGTAGCTGAATATTGTTATTCAAGACGATTTTATGCTCGAGAAAGAAAACAACAGTGACAAATAAGTAAAAATTAGACCCGAAGCATTGAAGCAAGGAACCAACATATCAATAAAATCTTGTTACTCTCCAACTACCCGATCGAAGAAATTACAAGATACTTGTCCACTCAGAGTTTACACCTCTACACAGCAACAAAATGAGGATAAACTAGAACACAGCAGCAAAAATATATAATTTGCAACCTGAAGCAGAAGACTAGCTGCAGGAAATTCTGGAACATTCAGGGTCGTAAGCAGGTCCACAAGCAAATTGTCCACTATTCCCTTCACATCTGCCCCATCTGGCGTCTTTGGAGCAGCCCAACGCTGAAAAATTTGCTGCCAAAGGTGGCTAGTAACCTCCATAGCAGGCTCAAAAATCCTCTGTGAGTTGGTCTCATTTTCATTACTGCTTCCAACCTCAGGTTTACTAACAGCGTCAACTCCAATGAGAGAAACGCTGCATTGTACCAACTGCAATATAAGAGCTGTCAAAATTTGTATTTGCTTTGGCTCTTCATCTGATAAATGATAAGACCGCAAATTTCGTTTTGAGGATGGAAGCTTCCACAGTAAAGTCACAATTTCCTCGATTATCAATCTGCGGTGCTGTGGGTACACCTCTGATATCTGCGAGAATAATACAAAAGATATAAATAGAAAATTTTGCATAATTAGTTAACTATAAAATGCTCTTACACACGCATCATGCAACAAATCGCTTTAGCCACTCACTGATTATAGCAGAGCATCAGATACGATACATGTGCAACCTTGGGCAACACATTCCAGAACAGGGTATGATTCCCAAGTAATTCAAACATTCGATAAAAAAGCGCGTCAGAGTTGGCACATACCGTACACACCACACCAAGAGCCTTCAGCTGCAACAACTGGATATTGTCTACACCAAAAGTGTCCAGCATGGTTTTCGTAAGCTGCAGAACACTGCTATCCAAAAGTTTTGTAATGGGCAAGAGCTCCTTCAACAAAGATAAAATACTGCATAGTTTGTGTAGCACGCCTGAAACAGCGCCAGACTGCCTGCTCCCAACACAAATACAAAAGATTTACGTAATTATTTACGTCTGGAACTGCTACTGAACTGAGCTTTTTAAGCTTCATCAGTTTTAAATAATAGATTGTAGCCAGGCTATTAATAACTGACACCAGAGCTGAGCAAAGAACAATAGTTCTAATTTTACATTCCAAACTAACTTTATGATCGTCTCCAAGAGTACATACAGAAATTGGAATTGACTTTAACCATTATAAGGATCCACAAGTCATCGGGACTTCAGATGAAAAAATTGAAGATAAGCTCACAATTATAACTAGATTAATAGCACTCCAGAGAGAAATCAGTTATTCCATGTATATGCGCATTAGTGTCACCAGTGTCACCAGATAAAGAATCTATTAAAACCTACAACACCAATATCTACAGATGATTCTCTGCAAGAAATTTATAGCCCAATAATGCAGATCCATCAGAGACAACCATACTTGCTTAGAGCTGGTTTTTTTGGTTTCGCAGGTGTTTTGCTCTTTCGTCGACTCTTTTTCGTTGAGCTACTTCCATTCTCTATTGCCTGAAGGTCTTCATCATCATCTCCTGCAAAGAAACAAAACAACCCATACTTAGCGGTGGCACCAAAATAATTCAATCAATTAATCTTACATTACAAATTTAAAATACTCATTCGATTGTTAGTTTTTATTAATTTTTTAAATTTTTGTCATGTTCAGAAGAAGAAAAAAAAGTTACCGTGACTAGTTTAGTACTCAGCTCCAGTACCCAAAGAGATATTACAAGCAAGCTTAACACACGAATCCTGAAGTAGAGGTTCCAATTTGAAGAAAGGACATGATATTATGAAACGGATAATGCTTCCACAAATTAAACACGTGTTACCTTCATCTCCACCACCTGCAGAACCTTTGTGGATCTGGCGATAACCAGGATCATATGCTGTGAACACACTATGAATAATCTGAAACCTTGTGAAATCGATTAATCTGTCGATAATCTGAGACCAGGTACAACATATCGTCCATTAGAAAGACCTCTATTCTGCCAACAGCGAATACAACTTATTATCATAATTTTAAATACAGAATGCTTTAGCCAAACTGAGATAAGATCATAACATCGAAACTATTACTACTGCAGTCAGCGATTAAACATAGGTTGACAAGTAAACAAACAATCTTCAACAAATAGCCGGATAAATACAAATAGAATGATTAAGACTTTTAGCAATCAATCATGCTATCATAAGGGCAATAATTTATGTTTCACCTCTTCTTTATAAATCTGCTTGGCCATATTTGGACCAGTCATGATAGTTAGTGAAATTTGAACCGCCTCCAAACCCAACATCACCGATTCAAAGTTCATACTCTCTTCCTGCAGATTATAACAGAGAAAAAGCACGTCAGTTGGTAAAGAGAAATGGTTAGTGAGAGCCATGAAAGCGCAGACGGTACACATGCAAGGAGCTGAAATCTTGCCCTAGATCAAGTACTGAACAAACTTAAAAGATCTCAACTCTTCCATCTTGACTAACACATCCAATATGTCCAGTTAATAAAATAGCAAGGAACTCCAAACTGCTTATTTTAAGTTTACCTGTAAGTTTGAAGTAGATTGCAAAGGAAAAAGCTCAACTTTGAATTTCAAAATGTTTGTCTCATCCAAAGTGGGAGAAGGGAAAGAAAGACACCCATATTACGCCATGATGACCCACTTTCCTGCTAGCTTCTACCTTTAGTTTCTGTAGGGGGGGGGGGATATGAGAAGTCACTTACATCATCATCCTCATCTACCTCCCTCCCATGAGCTCGCTGAACATGCTGATCGAGCAAGCTCAAAAGTCGTACGTGATAATCAAGAGGAACGATTTGAAGTATGTTCTTTGACCGTAACTTTACAACATCTTCTTCAATTGACCTCATTTCAGCAAGAGACAATGAAATTCCAGCATCATCGCCTTCGTCTTCACCAAATGCCCCTGATCTTGTAAAAATATCATCCAGCAGCTCGCAGAGTTCATGCACAACAGCATCTGCCATACAAGTTCCACAGAATGCTTTAGAAGAGCAATCACAATGTGAAAAAGCTAAATGATTGAAAGTATTCATACTTGGAACCAAACATAAGACAGCCGAATCTACCCAAACATAATCAAGACGCAAAAGCCTAACCCACGTGGCAACACCAGCACCTACTCCATCAGATCGAAGACGTATCATCAAAGTCTTTAACCATAGAAAAGTACTTTGGTCATAAGAATGCACGGGACTCATACCCTGATTGCTCTTTATCGGATCCAACAAGCCTGTAGCCGGTTTTTTGAATTGATGTCTATCAGGCTTAGATTCAGGAGCCTCTTTTCTTTTAACTCCAGTCAGTCTTGCAGCAGATGGTGAACTCTACAAGTAGAAAAATAAGGTGAGCTGTGCACATCTGTTAGCATGTCTCCACTTAAACACAGGTCAACACCTCAAGATCACATCGGAGCAAAGAGAATTTTAAAGAGGAGTTAGATACACGCACTATATTTGGTACACTAGGAGGTTCTAGTGATTGATGAGTCACTTGAGGAGTGCAAGGACTAGAATAGTCCCTAGGTACTGTCTGAGGCGGACGCTTTTCAACAGGAGTCCGCCATCCTCCACGCTTATGAGGTTCTGTGAAGCACAAACTACATGAGATAGATAGAACCAAGAACCAAGAAAAAGGTGAATGAAAATGAATTCTGATCAATAGAACAAGAAATAACTTATCTTGTAAAAAAATAAGCTGATAATAGGACTCCATGCCACCACAAAACTTTCATAGGATTGAGCATAAAAGTTAAGATTAGACTAACATGTAGTAGTCTAACAATCCCTTGGACTCTATGAATTGCAATTGGAAAGAGCAATAACTCTGGAAGTATTTTATTGTTCAGAAAATCAAAAGGCTGTATAAATCTCTAAGGTCGATGGTTTTTCGGCATGAAACATAGATAATGAACAACAATCCCAATTTACCTGAAAGATTGTACGAAAATGCATCTGGATCATGTTGGAGAACAGCAGCCATGAGGCTTCCACGCTTCGCTGAAATTTGACGATTGCCATTTCTCGCTTCCTCTCTGAGAGACCTAAGTTCAATCAAAGAGACAATATAAATGGAAAAATTAATCAAATGCTCATGCACAAAGGGAATCTTCAGATTGCAAAGTCGCTTTCATTGCACATCGCAACTGTGATGCAGCAAACTGGTTCACTAGCATATGCACGCTCCATGATAACCTACTATTTGACTAGCAGTACTGAAATAAACTATAAATTGCAAGCACAGCACTCGCTGCGTTCGTTTTGAGTAAGACATATTTGTTCAAGTATTGCTGTACCATTAGCACAAAATCCGAACGCTAAAATCGGACTTCTTAGTGCAATTGCTCTGATATGGACTCCAATCAACACAGGGTCAAGCGTAACATATACAAACGTATGAAAGTAGAGAGAAGCCACTGAACGACCGAAGGTAGTGATTCTATGGTTCTGAAAGGTGACTTTCCCAAATAAAGGTACACAATGTAGTTAAATAGCGAAATGTAAACATTTCAAATCCTCTCTGTAATCTACACAGCGAACAGGATGTCGTGGCAAATCGCGCTCAAATAGACGCGCTGTGGAGCAACAGCAATGTCACCATCCACTTCTTGCATGACCTAAAGAAAGTTGCCTCGATGAATGACTCCCAACGTACATTTCGAAATTCAAAAAATGATTGAACCAGTAATCACGGTCCTTCCCGAATTTTGATATGCTGACCTAATTGGTTGGCAAACCATTTTCCTCCAAGAGCTTCGAGGTATGAAGCAAAAAAAAATGTTCACACTACTGATCAGCATACAATGAATTAATCAAGTGCCGTAAATTGTGTACAACGTACATTTCGCAAGTAGTGCTTCGGCTCATACGCAGAATGCGTGTCGCTACCAGCCTTTCGTTGCGATCACGGAAATGGGCACTACAACTGATGATATACTAAAGTTGTGTTGAAAGTTACTCTCAATCTGTTGAACTAGGGTGAATACATGAACGCAATCCGATCGCACTCATGCCAAGAGTAAACTTAGTCCTAGAAGCTTAGAAATTGTCAGATAAGTGTACGTGGATTAAGAAGAGTTGAATCACCGGGTTGAACAGAAGGAAAACTCACAAGTAGCTAATATCAGTCGCTCTGAGAAGCTCAGCAATTTTGCCAGCTTGAGCGTTGATGGCTGCCTCGCTCTTGCTTCCCACCCTAGGAGCGGCCTCGTTGTCATCAAATAGGGAGAGCTCTTTACTACTGGAGCCAAAACTGACTGGAAGTGTAACCACGGGCAACCTTGCCACAACTTCTGTGTACGTGGTGTTCGTAAGCCTGTAGGTATTCATGATTTCGCAATTAAAGCCTCCCGAAACTCTCAAATTATTCTTCCCACTGGAGACATTGATCATTTCACGAGCTTGTCGACTCCTGCGTTTTACATTGCCTTCTCAATACGATCGCGCACGCTTGTTGTTGCTGCTAAGCTCTGATTCTAGGATTCCAACTCCTCGAAATATCTCTCCAATAACCTACTCCAATTTTACAAATGCGGAAACAATCCACAGCTGATGTGAAGCCAAATGACAGTCGCGATCATTCCAATACCAGGAACATTCATTTGTCGAGGAAAACATTTGTTCATTACTGCATTCGATTTCCGGTCCCTAAAAAACAATCCCTCAGGTTGGAGGCCCCACAGTCTCCACCAGAGCGAATAACAACACCAGTAAAAAGTTGCAGTCGCCGAATCACGCAAAGCAACATATCTCTTCACCCGTCTGCACGAAACCCTAGCTACCTGAACGATCGCTTCCCTACGTCGGAGGCTCAAAAAAAGAAAAAAAGAAAAAAAAAAAAAAAAAAAAAAAAGGGAGAAGGAACAAAAAAATTAAGTGCAACAGTCCACTCCACTCACACCGCTCCAACCGTCGCAATACAACCGAAACTGCTCCAGAACTCCTCCAATTTCTTAAACTCCACCACGCTCTATGGAGAATCCAGCAAACTGCTAAACTCTTCCGTGACAACTACAAACCTCACCAGAGACTCCTACCCCTCTTCCTATCGTAAACTAGAAAGCAGGCAAGCATCGGAAACCTATACAGGAACTTCCAACCAAGAGCGTCATCAGTGAAACAGAGGGCAAAGGGCTGGAAAGGAATCGTGACGAAGGAAGGAGACGAAGGTTGGGCAAACCCTTGTTCTTCCTTCTTCGAGGTTGAACTGGGCCGAGGGCAACGATATCCCAATATTCAAACGACCACAAATCGACAGCATTCATCCACTTCTGTTGATCTCTTCAAGTTTGTTAAGCCACCATCAGTGCCTGGTGACTTGCAGTTTGACAAGGTAGTGAGTTACTCTCTCTCTCACTTGGTACACTTTTGTCACCCAATGATGGGCTCACATGCCCGTTTAGTACTCTGCCATAGAAATACTCTTAGTAAAACTGCTGTTTATAATCCAACATTCCTGCATTACTCTGCACTAATTATCCTCTCTTTCAAGTTTACAGCAAGCATCCTCAGGATCTAAGCACCAAGATTGCTAAGCTAGTCCCCCCCCGTCTACAATGCTCTGCCCTACAGAAGTGGGGACAAGCACTGACTCTAAAGCAGAATGTACCTGGTGCACAACCTGCAAGTTATGGTCCATTGCATATTTGTTAAAGATCAGACTTCTAATATGTTCTGTGAGAAGAAAGCATGAAATGAACACAGATCTCCTACACACATTCTGTGAGCAGACCATTGGGAACTGGATTCATTGTTTTTTAACATCATGGCATAATGACATCTTAAGGTGTTCAGCTGTGTGTGTGCTCATTGTAATTCATTTTTTTGTGTTATTTACATTTAATTGATTAATTTAAAACACACTCGAACATACTTGGTACAATATTCTAAAAATGTTCATCAAATTGAGAATATGATCACTTAATTCTGTATCATTATGTACGGTTTTTAAATTTTAGAAATGATCAGTTAGTGATTAATAAGTTGGCTGTTTTAAACATTTCAAGTTTAACTAGTTTTCACTTATTGCACATTTTGAAAAACATAAGTGTGTGACCTTAATTCAAAAACATTGCAATTTTTGTAAGCCTGTTTTATATCCATGATCGAAGTATCAATATTGATGCTATAACTAACGGTGTTGGTGGCTCGAGAATGAAATATTTTGAATACTGTATACAACTATTTAAGCAAGGTTTGATATGTATATGTCAAATAAACACTAAACTTTAATATGTAGATATATACATTTTATTATATATGCGTGTTAAAACACATCCATACAAATGGCAATGAATTTTGCAATAAATACACGCTTAATATGGTAGCATGGAGTGATGAAGGTGGACACTGATCTCAAGGAAGTGATTGCTTTCCGTATCCGTTTTCATGCGAGTGGTTTCCTGACTACATCTTCCCACAAGTCTCACCAATGCTCATGAATCTCCTTCGACAGTCATAATCTGAACTTCCACCATTGTTGCAAAGCGGAGTAATATTCGAGAAGCTTGCCAATGATCCCACCGCCGAGTCCAACCGCTGAGAACAATGGGAGAAGAAGAGGATCCCCCTCCAATTGCTACACCACATCTTGATTCAATTGTCAGCAGTGCGGGGGCCGGATTCTCTAAGAAGTGCGCTCCATAACACTCGGATTTTCCAGAAGGAGAGCGAGCAGAGTCTGTCGCTAAGTTTCCTAATACTTTGGAAACTTTTTGCGTTTTGCATGTCTTGGAGCAAGATAAGTCTTGAACGGTGATTTCATCCTTCAGTTTCATTGGGGCGTGGTTGGTTCATTCTTGCAGGGAAACTAAATCATTGTTTCACGCAAGCATTGCCGACTTGAGTGGTTTCTCTTGCTCTTAGTGAGTGCATATCCTTATCGTTTTTGTGGTTTGCCTGTCGTACCGTTATCTTATTCATCGAAGTGTTCCTGGATAGAGCCACAAGAACTGAGGGTGTTTCTGACGATCCAGAATCTAGTAATTGGACTGGAAGTAATGAATTGGCATTTCGGCCGTGTAATTAATTTTCTGTAGAATTTTGTTGCATACTCCTTGCGCCTCCTTCGCGTGGACGACATACTGCGATTGCTCGCTTGTTTAACATGCAAAATTTATGAGCAATATTTGGTACTAGGATAACTTCTTCACGGAGCTCCGAAACGCCGTTCTCGGAGACTAATTAAACGTATCTCAGCAGGAATCGAAAGGTGGCTCTAATGTCAATATTCTTGCCATAGGTCAGAATGTTTGAGCATCATATATTTACAAATTTTAAGGTTCGTTCATTTGCAGCATCATTCCTTCAGCAATCCACGAAATCAACAATGCTGGAAAGTCAGTTTTCTGACTGGGCTCATTTAGTTATCTTTCATTATCAATTCGGTTACTCGTTCTCAATTTAGTGTGTTTGTTGGATGTTTCCGGAGTTTGTTTGGGTTTCAAGAGCAATTTTTTTTTTTTTTTTTTTTTTTTTTTTTTTTCCAGTACCTAGGATTTCTGCAGCCATTTGGCTTCTCTGTCCTAAAGTTGGTTCTCGCCTTCACTTTCAGTGTTTTTGGATTGCCTTCCGAGGGCGTTTTAGCTAAAATCAGCTGTCAGGAAATATCTTTCACATTTTGGACCTACAACTGCAACGAACTTGCTTGTTGAGATACCAGTATTTGGAGGTTAACGTATGTGTTCCTGTTTCATTTTATCGGATGAATGTAATGGTTTTTGATTTGTGCACAGTTTATAGCAAATGCTCGGTGCTAAACATTATCAATGATTCTTATAGTCAGTCAAGGGTTTAAAGAATCAAGTTATTTGTCATTTATTCGTCACTTGTTGTGATTGCCTTCACGTCAATGAAGAAATGTACAATACTGGTTGAGAATGATCATAACTTTAGAGATCACTACATCTCACCCAAAGCACCAACCTAGTGCCAACCTAATCCGAGATTTTCATTCTCGTATCTGAAGGAATCTTTGGAATTTAGGGATTAAAGCTCCACAGACTGCACTCTTTGCAAATGACCAGTAGCGGAAACATCAATGGCAAGAATACCTTTCTAAACCAAAGTCTATCGCATCTATCTTTCAACTCCGATGACTGCTGCAGGGACTGAAAGAGGAAGAACTACAAATTTATGCACGCATTCAAGAACATGGCAACTTCATCTCAGGACCGCTACAATTTGCTAACATGCAACCGGCAGCTAACTTCCAAATAGGAATCCTTAATTGCTCTCTATTGTTCAACGAATCACATTCTCAATTCCACATATATGGGGACATCCGAGAAACTCACCTAACAAAGTTCACTGGATTCTAGCAAAAGCTTTCAACACTACGAAAGATCCTGGAGATACGAGAGTTTGAAACCCACGTACAGGAATGTGGATTCTAATGGTCATTCAAGTGGTACTTCGAGGGCATTCAGGATGCGCGACGAAGATGATGCTCTACCGACGCAAACCCTCGTTCTTGATGATGCTAAGATTACTACCCGAAACGGACTGCAGAATAAAGGCTGCAAGTGCGCTCAGCGGCTAACTCTTCCATACGAATCTGATCCTGACCCGTGATTACATGCAATTCTGTTGCCAGTTACGCCACAAACAGCTGGCTCACCTTGCCTTCAACAAGACAATTCGGATTGAAGATGAACCTCTCACGATTACCGCAGCTGGATGGAACTCGATTGTAAACAAGTTCATATGGGAAAATCGATGCTCAAGCCAGTCACCACACGTGAGTCGGAAACAAGAGCGCATTGAAGAGCTTAATAAAAAGGACAAAGACGCGACATTAAACATCATCGAACATCTACTTCCAGGCCGGGTCTTCACCTGCCGGACAGCAGCTAATCAAGCCAGCTGCTTCAGAAATTCACAAGGCCACAAGGGGTTTAAGAGGGGGGCACTATCCACCAAGGCAAGCAAGCAAAGGTGTGAGCAGTAACCCTGACCACTTCGAGATCAGTAAAGCAGCACATCGGAACACGTTTCTAAGTCGTCACTGTTCTTGTGGATGACGTTTTCGTACATCCATCCATGATGGACAACAAGGAACCGATGAAATATCTAGGAAAGTTCTTCGAAGCTCCGAGTGTCAGTCAGCATCGCCTATGACATTGTAGTCATGCTAATAATAATCAAACATAGAATTTGCTATTTTACTCAATGTTTTTTAACTTTTCAAATCATATTTCACTTAATAAACGCGTTTTTAATGAAAGTTTGGATATGGATAAAGAACATACATGAATAAAAAAGAATATGTACTGTTTTTTCGTTTCCAAAATGCTTTTTGAAGTGACATACAACAATGTGCAGTGCAAAAAGTGTGTTCAAATTCAATGGTCTTTGCTAAAATACAGTTCTAAAATTTTGCACAACTCACTGTCAAATTACATGAGCATATTGTAATTTCAAAAAAACTATCTTCAATGGAATAAAACTATGAAAAACAATTAGTATTTAAATTTGGAGGTACTCTCAATTTCTGTTATTCTTTTCATTTCCTTTCTTTTCCGTTTCTTTGGTATGTTTGAGACAATGAAATGTGTTCTGGTTGTTGTTTAAATTCATTTTTTATACTGATTGGGCGAATTGTTAAGAGCATCTTGTAACGTGTACCTATAGTCAAAATGGTTGTAGCGTAATGCTAGACAAGACAATTTAAAAAATTATACTGAAAATTTATTTAATGGTAAACATATCATATTGTGAATTCATTTTTTCAAATAATTTACACACGGAGAAAAAATAAGTCCGGGGGACTGTGTCTCTATCAAAGATCTTCAGATTTTTTTATTTTTTAAAGAAATTTATCCAAACTTTAATGTTGAAGCCTAGACACAATATAAACAAAATGTTTATAAAAGGAATGAAGTGAACAAAACATCCTAATTCTGAAGTTTTTCTTTAATATTAAATTTTTTTTAAATAGTTTTTTTTCACATCTATTTGTGAAAAAAATTGTTTTGGAAGATTGGAATAACCATTTTTTGCAATATAAATAAATAAATAAATAAATATATATATATATATATATATCTGTTTGGATAAAAATATTTTTGTTATTTATGATGTGCTTGTATTATCTACATAATCCTGACAGATATGCAATTATTTTTGTAACTTCTGCACTAATAATTAACATCCACTATTACTTTTGTCAACATTTCAAAAATACACATAATATATTTTGTCTACATACCCAATGAGTATATATATATATATATATATATATGCACAAGTTTTGATTATCTTTTTTTCTGTTTATTTATGATGTGCTATCACACATTCAAAATCGTGTTTATATCAGATAACACAAAAATCATTTGGTCTTATAATGCTCTTTAATACACCTATTATGATATTTTTATTTGTTAATTTCAATTTTCCTTCACATAAAAACACATTTGAAAATTGGAATATACTTCTTGCAATGCAAATTTTGTGATCTATCGGTTATGATATTATATCCTTGGTGCATAGATCAAACACACATTTCTAGCATCTTATCAAGTTCTCTGGCACTAAAGAATACTTATTTTCACAATCGGTTTTTTCACAAATCATAATTGGAGGAACTATGTATATAATGTTTCGTCAAATTAGGTTAGTTAAAAACAAAAATAAATCCTATTATTATTAGTCTCTTTGTTGCTACTATTGCCACTATTATCATTATTATAATGAAACATGCATCCTAATACTGTTAATAGTTAGTAATTTTTTTAGTTTGTTTGTGTGCATATTGTTGAATTTATTTTTAAACATAATTATTATCAAAATGATTATTCTGAACAAAAATAAATGGACGCTGTCTTGTTTCCCATTTGATATGAATGCAGAGTACTATGTGATAAAATAATAGGGGTACTATGGACTAGGCAATCTCTCTCTCTTTTTGTTTTTGTTTTTTTTTTTTTGTATTTTTTTTCCCCTTACATTCATTAGATAATGAAACAATAGTACTCAATGCATAGCAATAATAGTATTGTTGTAATTGCATTTCTATTTGAATCATAAAAGAACCATTGATTTGATTTTTTTGCATGCATACTACATGTTGTATACCAAGTCCATACATGCAAATAAATAGCCCTAAGATTTTAGTTGACATTTGTGCAGTAGTAAACAAATTCTTTTTCCTCTTTGAATAATATTTCTTATAGAAGAAAATAATCAACATTTAAGTGATGTTTTGGACACATAAGAGATTAGAAGATTTAAAACCACGTGGACAAGATGACTAGAGCAAGGCATTTGGAGATGATCATCATACCCACAATGAAAGTGTTGCATGGCAAATTGTAATCCATCCATACACCATCCTTCAAATAAACATAATAATATTCTCTTTTAAAACCAAGCAATAAATTTTTTTTATACATATATAAGGTGGAATTCATCCATTAATCCATAAGTCATTTGGTTGTATGCAATGACAATTATTCACTCATTCATTGATCAAATCATGTTCATTCACTTGCTTGGTTGACAACATGAAGCATGTGTGGGTATTGTCCCCTCACACCCTCCACACTTGGCACCTACTTGCTTCTTCCCCACCACCCCAAATCCTAACTAACTAGCTAACCCTAATTCTAACACACACACAATAAGCATTTTGTTTTATTTATTTATTACAATAGAATGTATATGTTTGATTTTAAGAGATGTGTGTATCAAACATCAAAGTGAATTTTGTATTAAATGAAACAAAATGCAAATAAAATTCTTCTCCAAAAATAATGACATATTATGTTTGTTAAAAGAAAGCTGGCAAGATTATCTGATCATGCTAGTATTGATGACAATGATCCAATTTTTGTGGTTATTGCTTACAATTGAATAACGAAATTGTAACTTAGGATCAAATTTGTTGTGTATGATATACATTTTGCAGGAATACAAATCAATGCATATGTTAACATGGGTGTTTTCTAAAATTATTATCAGTCTTATTTAGTTGTATATTCATGTGGGTATGCCATGATACTCATAAGATCAAAATTGAACCAAGTGTATGAAAAAAACACACATGATATTAATTAGAGATGTTTTGATTGTATTATATTCTATTCTCATTTTTGGTGATTTTTTTTTTTTTTTTTTTTCTGAAAAGAGTACATGCCAGACACAGTTCTTATATAAGTTGCACATGAACATGTTTAATGTAATATTAAAAATGCATAACTCAACTACATGTACAAATATACACACTTTATTGGATAATTGTCTTAAATACAAAAATAAGAATAAAAATAAAAACATACACACTTTAAAATACCTTTGAAACTTTGGTTGTAGCATCAATGTGGACTATTTTAAAATGCATTATATTGGTTTTGGAAACATGTATCATAGTCTTCAGAATCGAATTCTTGTATTATATTGCAAAATACTTTAAAACATAAGAGATGCAATCTTAAATTTTTTTTGCAATATATTTAGGAACTGTCAAAATAATTTTCTTAGATTGCTTCCTGATTTAAGTTTTATTTTTTATTCTTTTTTTGAAACCTTGTGATCTGGTAATACAACAAGGTAATTTTATATTGGAACTTCATATCACTCTTGAAAATTTTCATCTTTTTTCTTAGAAATTAAAAATTTATGTATTTTTTAAAATCATGTGTCTATTAAATATTCTCATAATAAATAAGTAAATGAATATATTAACTTTGATTTTTGATGAGAGTGCCGGAAGTCGAATTTCGACCCACTAGTTCCCAAGGCGTTCGAATGAAGTTCCCAACAGGAACCACCGCGTTCTCCTCAAGGGACGGGCCCGGTCGTGCCGAGGGAGTTGACCTCGGTAAGAACAGGGAGCGCCCGGACCACGGGGATGGGGTGGGGGGTGGCGAGCTCCGTCAGACCCGGTTGTAGGTCCCGGAAGTGAGGGCAACGCACCACAACCATTCTCAAAGGGGGACGTGATTCCGCTGCTGCCAGGGCCCGTTTTTTTTGTTATTTTGTTTTTTGTATGGTTTTTGTCTCGGCTTGCTTGCTTGCTTGCTTGCGTTGTGTCTTCTTCTTCGATCTTCACTGTCCCACGGGCTTGGATTCAAGCTATGCCACTGCTTCTTCTGCTTCTGCTTCTTCTTCGGACTTCTTCGCTTTTCAATCTTGGTGGTGGTGGTGGTTGTGTGGTTTCGTCAGTGATCTCATCACCGTGGTGATGAATTTCTAGTTCACGCTCCTCGGGAGCGGTATATCTGGTTTCGTTGGATCCCCCTACTGACCCTGGGATGGCGACGAATATGGCCTTTTGGCGAAAGCCGCTTTGTTGGATTTTGTTTGTTGGGCTGTTGGTTTAGGTGTTTGTTTTTTCGAGGAGAGGGGGAGAAGGAAGTTCAGTTTTGGGCGTGTCTGTGAATTAATCCGTGTGTTGTTCATCGGAAGGTGCGAAGTAGTACCTTGTTCTGAGATGTTAGGGCTGTGAATCTGAGGTTTTGGATCTTGGGCGGAGAATGCATGGATGACTGCGGGGTCTTTGTCGATTGCTGAGGATACGGAGGTGTGTGAGATTTTGGGTGGTGTGTGATGGGGAGCGATGGCGGCTTGTCCGCAGACGCGGAGGTTATCTCTGCCGTCGACAGTGTGTTGGATGACGTCGCGAAGCTGGTCAAGGAATGTAGTGCTTTTCAGGAGGCCGTTTCCTCTCACTCATCACGATTGCAATCCGAATCGGATGTTCTTTCTAAGCAGGCAGTTGAACTTGTTGCCTCCATGAAGCAACTTCAAGCGGAAGTTTATGCTGCCAGCGAGAAGAAAGATATCAGTCACGGCGTGGCAGAAAAGGTCCCCTTCTATCCCCCCCTCATTCCTCTGTGTATCCTGGTCTCAGATTTCCTCTGTCTGGCTGTAATGCAATTGTGTGGACGAATGCTATCAGTTAAATCGTTCGGGAGCCTTGCGATCCTAGGCATGGGCAGTAAAAACTTATGACAGACTCAAGTTGTATCGAACGACACTCCTCATGTGTCGGATTAGAAAGAATACATCAACGCAATTTGATCGCATTTCAGCCAAGAGTAAACTTGGTTCTAGAAATGTAGAAGTAGCCAGATAGGTATACGTGGATTGAGAAGTGTTGAATCACCTGGTTGGACTGTAGGAATACTCACGAGTAACTAATACCGGTTGCTCTGTGGAAGTTGGCGATTCTGCCATCTTAACCAATGACGACTGCCTCACTTTTTTTAGCGAGATCTATTCCTTCTTCTTTAACCTAGTCTGCGTTGAACCTCCCTCTATGGACCTCATTTTAGTCTATTCTAGGCGGAAGGATTTTTAGGGTTTTCGAAGTTGAAAGCGATACAGCTGTAATATCGTTGATGTGTTGAGGATCATATTCTCTTAAGAATGTAAAGATTTGGAATCGCAGTCTTTCTGTTTTCACCAGATTTGGACGAATTAATTTCCGGTTGAGTATGATCACAGGGTTTCAACCTTTCGCAGGGTTGTTTCCGTTCGCACCAGCAATAGTCGTACTACCTGTGGATTCCATGGTCTTGGTCGTTGCGGTCAGGAAGAGGCCTCAATGAATTAGTATTTATGCCGGACAGCGCTATTTGTCCTCGTTAGAATTTGGCTGTGGCTAATTATCTGAGAGATGGTTGTAACTTTAATTTGACTGTCTTGCTGAAGGTCATGTTGCTATGGTGTGATTCTGCAGTTAATGGATGAGTTGTCTAAGGTGCGAACTATGCTTTACGACGGAGATGTGGCGCCACTACTTCCTGCCAAAGCCAATGGTGAGACGATCTGTCTTTCGCACTGCTAGGCGTAAACATTCGAATGTAGTTGAGATTCCCAGGCTGAATTGGGTTCGTGCTTCGCGAAAGAATGAGTTGGTGTTTTAATTGCCGAAAAGTGATTTTTTTGAAGTATTTGCTTGGCGGTCGCAGCTAATCGATCTTAGAGGTTGTCGTCGTGATGAATGCATTAAAGACGACCATTTCTGAATTTTGCTGTCTATTGGTGAATGCATGGACGAGCCTTGAAACTGACGATGACTTTCGGTAATAAGTTTGGTACTGAGGTGTTTCGCATTCCCAGGTTTTTTTCTGAGAGCGTTACTGGGGCCTGCCAATGTTCGAGCGGCACGCAAGGATGGTCGATACAAAGTGAAAGAGGAGTACAATGCTTATAGGGTTTGTTTGCTTACCAAGGCTCTCATTTTTGCATTTCTCGTCTGCCCCCGCCCATTGGTCTTCTAGTTGTGTTTTCCTATAGCCTTGCTTTGAAGCACATTGTTTGGTGTAAAGTTTTGAAATGTTGGCCTCACCTGTAACATTTGGACTCTTTTGCTCGTACTCTCGCGTCTGTATGGCTAATTTATCATTTTTTCCCCCAGGATAATACAACTATCATTTTTCTTGTATTTCCAATCGTTTTGTTAGCTCTTAAGAAGAAATTATGGAATGAATGCTTTCCAGCATTGCCAGTTCAGATTTATCAGGTACTTGTGGACCCTTTTTATCCGGTTTTGAAGTCGTTTGTGAGCCAAGCTGATATCTTGTTCTAGTGCTACGTCTGCGCTTGTCATTTGTTGGATACTCAATGTTGGGTTTGTCAACATCTTAAGCACATTTTGATGTTTGAAGTGGTCAAGTCATGTAGAAGTAAGTAAGGACAGAACTTTCTCAATAATTCCTATTCTTTGCTTTGCTGTTCTCGTAGTTATATGGCAAAAATGTAGCCCATGTATTTGCTAGTTATCCAAAGTGGCGTCTTTATGGGTTTTAATCTTGGTGTAACTTATGCTCACATTTTTTGACTTTACAGGCGTGGCTGTTGCTTTTTTACACCAGCCTAGCGATGAGAGAGAACATTTTGAGAGTTAATGGTAGTGATATAAGACCATGGTGTGTGTTATTTCTCAACTCTTTAACTCAAAGTTCATGAGGGTTTTGTGCTTCCTGTGTGTGAGTGTATGTTCGTCATAGCCTTCAACTCTCTTCTGTTATGGCAGTAACGTTTGTTGTTTGTACTTCTTGTCAACTCAAAACAAATGCAGTCGTATTTAGAAGCAATGCTTCCATTCATTAATTTTTCTGTATTTTGCCTAGTAACTTGATTCATTAACTTGTCTTCTGATTTAACGAAGATGTTTGTTTGGCATTCCAGGTGGGTGTATCATCATTACCTAGCAATTGCTATGGCTCTTGTGAGTCTCACCTGGGGTATACAAGGTCATCCTGACTGCTCTCGTAAACAGGTATTTTTGGCATATCCCCGGCTTCCATGTATCTTAAGCGGGCCTTTACTAATTAAATTAATGCACTAATGTGTCAATCAGCACGATTTGTCAAGTTATTTTTTATAAATTGCTTTTCAGTGACTAGGGTTAGACAGGTAATTGTATAATTGTATTAGCAACTAATTCAAATAAAATTTGGACAACCGCTGCATGTGCTGCTATAGTTAACCGGATCTTTAAAGTCTTCTTATGTCAGACTTCCGGACTCCGTACGTGATGTATAAATTTGTTTTGGTTTATAAGCAAAAGTTAACGCTTGCTTATGAACGAATCATTGGTTTACATTCGATGGCGGTTTGTTTCTGAATTCTTGACGTTCAAAAACTTTGTAAGATTTGACAATCCTATGGTTCAATTGTATACAGCATGGAGTGGAGTTATTTCTGGAATGGGCAGTGATGCAAGGTGTGGCCATGCTACTCCAGAATCGTTATCAGCGTCAACGGCTGTACACAAGGATTGCCCTTGGCAAGGTATTCCATGCTTGATTTAGATTAGCATTGGTTTGCTTCTAGCAATTATCAATTTCTTTATGCCTGGATTCAATCTTTTGAGTTATGATTTTAATGCATTCATAAATAGGTCAAGATATGAGTAGGTAATGATGACGTCTGATTATTATCCACTCAAGCACAACAACACTTTTACTCGTCCGCAGTTCCCCACACCATGTGGGTTTGGTTTTTAGTTGCACCAATGAGTGGATATATTTTTCATGACACTAAATCCAGCAAGTGTCAGAACCTATGTCGACGTCGACATTGGCATTATTGGGATGTCTGGATGTCTCGAATAGGTCTGCACAAGTCTTCTTGCTTACCACTGCATGATTTAACGATGTCAATGTAGCTTCTTGTAACCATTCCAAGTTTTTGTGTTGTCGTTGTGCAGGCTGGGAGGATGGATGTAGTTTGGGGAGAGACTTCAGGTGTGAAGGGTCAACTTTGGATTCTATATCCTGTTCTCTTCACTTTGCAGGTTCTCTTCTTTGCTCTCTATCATCCACTTCGTTTTTTTGGAATGTATTGGATTTTTCTATTTACTTTTTGAATACACTTTATGGAGACATGCTAAGTAGAGGGTTCTCGCATCGTTGTTCCTAAAGTTAAGCGTTAATTGTGGCCCTTCCTTTATTCCAGGTATTCCAATGTTATATTGGAGGCCTCCTGTTGCGGACAGCTGTTGTTGAGGACGATTGCGAATGGCAGGCAAGTCGGCAATGCCTCTTTGTCTAGTTTTTGTTTTCTCAAACAGTCTTACCATCCTACAGCACTTTTCCTATTGCATTTCAAGAACGCTTCTTTGGGTTAGCTAATCGTTAATTATTTAACAGTTATTGTTCCAAGCTACCTATATTTTCACCACTAAAAACGCAGAGACAGTAGCACGAACTGATGTGTTTCATGTGTCTTCATTTATCATTTTGTATCGTGTGCAGATGGTTGTTTGCGGGTTACTATTGATTGCCATGGCTTTTGGTAACTTTTTCAACACCATAGCCACTTTGGTTGCCAAGGCAAAAATCAAAGCGAAAATGAAGAAGATGAAGCACGTAGCCAAGAACACGTTGCAGGAGAAGGTGCAGAAACAGAAAGCTGCATCGACTTAGTTGAAGAGAACCTTGTGTAAAGTCGAATGTGATCTGATACACCTCTCTCCAAGCTCTGCACGTCTCCACTAAGATTCCTCCTTCAAGAGCACAATAACTGAAGTTTTTGAACATCAGAATGTTCACGATTAGTGTTTGAAGAGTGGAATACTTAAGAGAGTAATTTTTTCTTCCTACAGTCTTTTCTTCATCATATTCCATTACTTCTTGGGGACGTGAAGAGTTCTTTGAAATGAAGATGGGTTAGTTTCTGTCATTTCAGAAATTTTGGCACAATGAAGAGTCCATGGTGGTAACCGTGTTGGGCTATGGCAATGGAAGATCCCTTGGCTTCTTTTCCAAAATGATATCCTCACCCCTACAATAAGGTTCTTGGATCTAACAGATAACCCTGGATAACATTCTAAACATCACTTTTATGAGAAAGAAGCCTTCTTTGTAGTCTTAGAGTGGTTAAAGAAAACAATAAGAAAATTATTTCAAAAAACCTATACACATGTACTAAAGTCAATTCTAAGTGATTTTAATTGTTTTTCAAGGTAGTTCATTTGCCCTTGTAACCAACAAATATAACAGTTGATAAATAATATGACCACATATAAATTTGGTTTATATTGGTACATTTGTATGAGCTTTTGAATATAATTGAAAGATATTATTTTAAACATGGCATGTTTTAAAAATTAAATTAACAAACAATTAGTCTTTATTTTAAGATTGTGGTTTTGAATACATTTTATTTACTTTGATTTTATTGCCTTAAGATCAAACATTAAAGAAACCTAAAAAGTCATTAATAAATTAATCATAAAGTGGCATGTGTATATGTGTATGTATATATACTAATATTTACATATTATTTTTGTTATTTTATATTTTGATCTTAAGTTTCTTTCAAAAATATCTTAATAATTTCTTATAGCTCTAACATGTCAAAAATACAAAGACTAACAACTAATGAATTAACAAAATCAAGTGAACATAGAGATTAGATTAGATTAGATTTAAAACAACACTATACACAAGATTAGGAATAAAATAATACTTAGATAGCTCCAAATCTTATACTAGTAATATTAAAGTAGTTCTAATAGAAACTTTTAAAAGATTATGGAAGGACTTTGATGACTATAAAACACAAAAGAAATTTTGTCAAGATTACATATGATCCTTAGATTATTCTAAAAGACAATAAAAAGTTTTAGATAATGCTAAATCTATTCCAAAATTAACAAAAAAATCTAACAAAGATTTTGGTAAGCTCCTCAATGCTCCAAATTACAATTTCTATTATTAATATACCTCTTCTTTTAGTAGCATTTTTGACAACAAGCTTCAATTACCAATTTCTATACATTCCACAAAACTTAAAGATTTGTTTGAAAGTCTTGCATAAACTCTTTTAAACATATTCTTAAATATTTCAAGACTAAAACTACTTAGTCTAAAGTTATGGTTGATATTTAAAAGAACATACTTTGTCTTGGGAAAGTCTATGTGATGACAAGGTTGTAACAACAAGGATGGTTAGTAAAATAACTTCAACAAACAAAACTTAAGTTTAGTAATTTTGAACTATATAATATGATATATAATAAGTACAAAAATAAAATTAAGAATCCTAACTTTCATAAAAATTACAGACTAATTACGCCCTTAAGTTTTGATATTCTTCTTTATTCTTTCTATATGTCGTTTGAGGAACCTTTAATTTTATTTTTAATTTTTTAAACATAAGATTTTTTAGATTTTATTATAAACATATTGATTTGGATTATAATGTAATAGTTTTAAAACTCATAAACTTTTATTGATAAATTAATTAATTTTTATAATGACCCTTTTATTTATTTGTTAGTATTATAACATATCTAATGGATAAAAACGTCTAAATAATAAGTTTAAAATAAAATAAACAAGTATTTATATTGAATAGAATCTATACTAAATATTAATTGAATAAATGTAAATGAATAAAAAGTGGATCTAAGCTTTGATAGTTCATTTTTTTGAATAAAATATTATAAATCTTATACATTAAATATTAATTAAACATTACAATAATAACACATGTAATGTTGTATTAAATTTTAAATATCATGTACAAGAAACATAAGATTTTTCTAGAAGATACACAATAGATTAATCAAATCTCTTGAAATGGGAATCTTGATATTTTTATTGTAGAATTAATTTTTTTGAAGGTAGTTGCTACAATTATTATTACTATTATTATTATTATTATTATTATTATTTTTTAACTAATAAATCTGTGTTATAATTAAGATAAACTCTGCCAATATCAAACAATGTTAGTCTCAAGCATCTTAAATTCAATCAAGGAGTTTGATATGATAGATTATATACTAGATATCCAATAATAGAATTCAATTTCTTTCCAAATTTTGGTGAAATGATCTATAGTTACTAAATTTAGCTTTACTACTGGAAGTTGAAAGATCTACAGTATAAAATAATAATAATAATAATAATGAGCACAATTTCGTTACAATAAAAAGTGGTTGAATTAAATTATTTGATTGATGCCTTTGAGGCTAGGCTCTTCTATATATATCACTAGATTAAGTAAAATTTCTCATAAAATTTCATGGATGCGGCTACTACTAATTTATGGTTATGTTGAAATCAATTCTTTTGGAATAAGCACATTATGACATATTTAAGCAGTACAAAGACGTGCAAGTCTCTGTATAAAGTCTTTAAGCTGGAAGAAATCTGAAGTGTCTGGTTCTTGTAGCAGGATAATAGTTTTTAATAAAATTAAACCTAAAGTTTTGACCATTGTTTAACATTTAAATTCATATAGTATTCCAATAAATTTAAATATACATAAACAAAATTGTAAATACATGTGTTTTTTAATAATTTGAAAACCCAAAAAAAAAATAAAAAAATGAAAAAATTTGGTACATATGAGTAAGTTACAAATAGAATATATATATATATATATATATATATATATAGGTTATATTTGATTTTAAAAATTAAAGTTAAAAGGTAATTGCAGATGTATTTTAGAAGTCACATGTAAATGAGCTTTGCATAATGATCAGTTAGGGATAATTTCAATGGATTTATAGCTTTAGATTGAAACCTCTAATTAAATATTAAAACCCCAATTTTTAAATTTATTTCAAAATATAATTTCTGTGAATCAAGCACGAAATCCATCACCAGATGAAAAAGACACAAAACACAAAGTGTAGAAACTGGCAAACAAAACAAAACAAAAACAAAAGTTGAAATTCTTCATGTTGGAACCTGTTTGGGTTTGGGTTCATATTTCACATGCACTTGATTCTAACTGTCATTTATGCACCCAAACACACCCTAAAAACACCAATTAACTATGAGGTCAAGTTTTATCATGAATATACTACCTCCTATCATCACTTTTTGCAGAAAAAAGGTTAAAATAAAGTCTTTGCACGAGCAGTACACTACAGTAAAATTTGCACAGAATATTAAACTTCAGTCAATGAAGGACTGGAACAGTAGTACATTCACACACAGTAAAGTGTACTTGCAATCTACACAACTGGCTTGATGGTCCACACTAAAATTCTAGGGCTCACCAGTTTAGTTTTGTGGGGACCATTTTTTGTGGCTCATGTCAAGGGCATGGAGATTTGCAAAGAGCCTGAAACACCCCCCCACTTATCATAATACCCACTTAACATGTCTGGTTAACCTCGACCAAACCAACTCTTTTTAAAGGGAAAACTTTAAAATGAGAGCTAATCCATTTAATACTAGTAGAAACTTGTGTTGTTGGCCACAAAAAATATTTTATGAAAAATATTTATTGAAAATTGTGCTTGAGAACTTCCAAGCTCCATGCCTAGTGATTTTGCACTGCTACTCTCAGCAATCTGCAACAATAACATATAGATTTTAATCTATATTTGATCGAAAGTTAAGTTATTGTTTCACTTTTGCTTTACTTTTGATGAAAACAATGAGATATGTAGCCAATTAGAGATGGTTTTTGTTTCCTCTTGTTTATCCTCTTGGTTTATCCCTTTTGAGCTGCTTTATATAAGAGATGCCTCACTACTACAAATGTTTCTAAAGAGGTTTTCCATATAGGTAGAGAGAAACATAACTATATATATATATATATATATATAATCTATAATATATAACAACTTGGGTATAAGACCAAGAGACAATGAAGCCTTTTCATTGGTTGTGAACAAGGGAATGTGAGGAAGGTTGAGAACATGAAAGCAAATGAATGGAGGGCTTTCCAAAGCCTCATAGTTTGGAAGAGACTGCTCCTTAAAAGCTAATGCACCATTTCCATGCCCAACTACACGAGTTTCCACTGGTACTAAACAAAATTGCTTAATAAGTATGAAGTGGGTAGTACAAGGGACAAAGCCACCATCTGCTTTTCTGAGCATGAACTATGAGGTGAGTTCCACTTTGTCCTCAGTAATATTATTCAAATGGTTTAGTTTCAGCATCAAGAAATTCCAGTGTTGTCTGCTTTAAGATTGTTCTCTCAATCACCGCTCAGGTAAAATTGCCTCTACTAAAAAAGGCTTACTTCACCTTTTTCTGGAGTGAATTGTAAGACAACACCATTCTTCTAAGCTCTGCTCAAGTCTCCCCAAATTCCACTCTATAATTGACTTTCTTAATTTTAACAATAGTTATCAGTAAATAAATTGAACCATATACTATACACCACATGGCGGTCACCACCGGCCATAGGGTATGTACCGTGTGGACTGCACCCAGGACAAGAATAGTGTGCAGTTTTATGGGCCCCATTCAATCAAAGCCCAATGGGCGCGCCTGTTTAGTGGGGCACGGTGGAGATGCACTCACAGGACCACTGCAAACTGTGCTAAAAGTGGGCACAGGACAAGTATCACGTGTTGGATGGGAGAGATTGTGGAACTGATAGAGGTTCTCAAGATCGTTTTGAAGTGAAGACCAGTTTTGTGGATAAAAACTATGACTTTGTAATTGCATTATTGCAAACTAAAGCTGCAAAGGTGACCTGAGTCAAAGCAGACGCACCTGGATACATGTGCAAATTACAACTCTAGAAGATGTAATGGAGAGTAGCTAACTCCGAATATAACCGTGAAGAGAGTAACTGTAACCTATTCTGTAGCAAGGACACCATTACCAAAAGGTCTGTTGTATTATAAACTACCCGTTATGGGTGCATATACAAGTGGGTACAGAAATGTGTATCCACAGAGCCAAATGCTACCATCGAAGCTCTGTGAAAGGTGGTTGCGAGAACCTTCTAAGTATCAATTTAAACTCGGTTACAGTATTGTACATGGGGGTGCCAAGGGGGTTCCGCATGCGCAGGGTTGCACTAGCCTGCGCTACACTACCATTACTCTCCAGCAAAATTGATGTAATATTCATTACTGAAGCTGTCAACTCCAGGCAGGTTAACAGTGGCTACGCAGCTAGCCACTGTGAAGTCCAAGTCTGCACTTGACAATCTACTCATCACGATGCTAACTCACTACATGAAACAAACAAATCGGCAGGTTTCAATCCCACGAGTACAGGTGGCCAAGGATACATTGAATTATGTCCAAGTATGTCACAATTCCAATCAAGTTTTTATCATCGTCAGTCACCCAGATGTAACCCACCCGGTGGGTGAGAGCCTGAGCCATCACTGCAACCAGAGAGCTCCATGGCCGACACATATTGGGAGCCAATCTCCCTTTGGAATAAGAATAAGAAGGGCTGTGCAAGGAGCCAAATGGACCGGTGGGAGACTGTCCAATGCAGTCCTCATCTGAAGAAGACGACTCCTCACCGCTGTCAATGCTGTAAATTGTAGCGAGCGGGCCAACAGATGAGATACTATTTGAGGGAGAGGAAGGGAACGAAACCGGGCTGTCAGGATCTGACAAAAGAGATTCAGTGGCTTGTAAATGCTCCAGTTTCTCGCATATCCTGGACTCGACAAGCTGAACCAGGGAATTGGGAGGGCATTCACAATCCCGAGAGAAAGCCAGAAAGTCTCGCACAGAGAGGGTCGAGAGAGCTAAAGCTGCCTTTTCGTCACAGCTCTTCATGGTGAAGGGTGAGATTTCGCCAACAAGCTTAAGATCCTCCTCGTTTTCCCCGTCCGCTTCGACAACAGCCACGGCCGTCATCTCCCTAGCGGCTTGTTGTATCAAAGGTAATGCAGTGATTGCATCAGCGGTTGATTTCACAGACAGTACAGCCATATTGATGATCCCGAGTTGCTGGATGGTCATCATGGGGAGAGGCGAGAATAAGCCGATGCAACTTAATAGAAACTGGAGGATATCCTCTGGCGTTAGCCAACAATACTCTTGGCCTACATGGGGTGGAATTTTGGGGGAAAGAGATAGGTGAGAGCCCAAAGATTTCCCCTGCTTTGCGTTTAGAAATGTCTGAGGGACTACTCTCTTGGGCTTTGGCATGCTGTTGTAGCGAGCCAACCGGTTCAAGACGGACGGATCAATAGACACGACGAGGTGTTGTACACCATCGAATACGTGGGCCAAGGCGTCAAACAACCTGCAAAAACACAAACAGTGAGAAATGTCCAGAGAGTCCAACGCCAGCTGGCTCCCAACATAATCATACAATACTAGAGAATAAAAAGATTATTTGAAGGATTAGCTTAGCTACACGAGTGTGAACAAGCTCTTCTGTCCTAGTATGGGGCTCAAAATGCAAAATCGACAGAAAAGCAGAACTGTCGATTGTCCTAACTCTAACTTCAACAATGTGCCAAGATAAAGATGCACACAGCACAACATACCGGAGAATTCAATGATCCAAAGAAACTCTAAAATAAAATAAAATAAGATAAAAAGATAGAGGATTTGGGCACAAACTTGCTCTTGGAGTCCACATGCTGGACACTGCACGCACTATCCGGAACAATGGCTGAGACTGGAGTTCGAAGGGCAGCACCTTGATCCGCCAAGCTTTCATCACGAGCTAGAAAGCAGATGATGTCCACCATACCCAGCTTTCCCACACATCGCCACAAGCTTCCTTTCAAGCCCTGCACGAGAGGGATTCAGACCTATCGCCATGCAGAGCCAGATATGAAGAAGCAATGCAGTATTCTAAAAAAATCCACAAAAAATCATCCGATAACTGTGAATCATTGTAGGTACCTGTGAGCCATTACAACTGTGCCCATTGCCCAGGGTCTGATTAGACGTAACATGGCCAACAATCTCCGTTGCAGCACCCCGAGGTAGGGAAGCAGCTTCTTTGATAGGTTTCTCTGTCAAGGGGCAAAACTCGTCCCAAATGCTCAGCTCCGGGTCATGGCTGTTCTTGAGAGCTCTCAAGGCCTCTCCCACTGAGAGGTCCTTGCGGTACTTGTGCAGTGGAGGCTTGCCCACAGCAAGGTCGCCAGCAAGCCGAGCATGCAGGAAACCGGCCATACAACTCAAACCACTATTTCCGCTTCACCTGTGAGAAATGGATTCAACGCGCTGAATGAGCGCTTCTAGCCTCCCCAATCCCAGATAAATCTCCGTCACTCTACAGATTATTTCAGAATCCAGTGCTGCATTTGTTTAAAAAAGGTCACGCTGCTAGTGCTCTACACTGCGCAACAAAAACGAAATAAGAAGATCGAGGTGAGCCTTCAAATGCAGGGATTGCACCGAACCATACAAACTGGGCCCAAACCTCACAGATCGAGATTATTAAAGGATCTCACAGCAGAAAGTGAGGCATTCCACTTGCGGCATCCACGTCTAACTCGAGAACTGACGGACATCTTTCATCGGTTCTCATTATAGCACATTTCCCGAGAGTCTGGCTCTACAGCAGAACGCTGCTCCACTATTACTGGAGAAATCTACTAGAATCCAAGAATATTCTTATAGCACGGACAGAATTCTCTGGGATAGCTCGAATGATGCAGATTCCAAGAACTTCTGAGGTCACTCGCATGATCATGCTCTGCAACATCCTCCGTACCTTCACGCCGGCACTACTACGCAATCGATCCAACCGAATCTAAACCAAATTTGAAAAGCAGCAACAATACCTTCCCAATCTACCAGCCACACCAACTACCTTCCTCGGACATTCTCAACCAAAAAACCAATGAAACCTAAAAATACACAAAGAAACAAACAAAACAAAAAAAAACAACAAGGATCGAATGATAATAAGAATGACTCCAAAAACTCACGAAACCTCAACAACTCTCGCTCGAAGTCAACCACATCCAAGTACACAAACAAAAACCTCCTCTCTCTCCAACAACTGCACCCACCCAATCTAGTGCACACAGCACCACATGAAACGCTCACTCAATGCCGCCACAAACATCTCATAGAAGAGAAACGATGAAAAAGGGGGTGGGGACGCATCCAGGCAACTACCACCCCAACCAATATAGAAATTGCTGAAATGGACGAGGAAAAACCAGAACAGCGGCAATGAGAACACGTACCTCCGAGGGAATCACAGCCAGAGAAGAAAGAGAGAAAAAGAGAGAGATACGGTGAGCATTAGAGCGAGGTAGAGGTGGGAGCAGAGGGTGTAGGGGGTGGGGGGACCAGAGGGTGATGGGGGCGGGGCGGATAGTGTGGAAGAATTAGAAGAAGCAGAAGATGCAGAAGCAGGAGCAGATGATGGGGCGGCCTGCCAACTGGTGAAACTGTGGCACAGCCAAAACTGAGGTGCGGTCGGTCCCGTTCCGGGACTTCTCTGCTTATAGGGCAGTGTGGCCCCGTGGTCTTGGGCTTGGTTTAGCTGGGTTACGCTTGGCCGGCCTTGTGGCCCCACTTCGCTTCGTGGCGCTCGTGTTTCGCTGGGTTCGTGTTGCGAGCTGCCAACACACCACCCTCTTCGCTGGCTGCTTGGCTTTGCTGGCCTGCCTTTGCTCACGCCGACCTTCCCAGCTGGATTGCTCCTCCGCAAAGCATCCCTCCCTCCCTCCCTCCCTCACTACCACATTGGATTGCTCGCATTGCTTCCATCTCTGGTGTTGCTTTTTCTGACACACTCGCCACGCGGCTGCTCGATTCTCCTTCCCGCTGCGGACACAGATACCGCCCGCCTGCCTGCCTTCCACCCTTGTTGGGTTCGGTTTTGATCGCGCCTCCTCTCTTCCTTGCTCCCCCCCCCCCCCCCGAAATCCTTGCTCCCCCTCCCTTTGCCGAAATCGCCCACCGAAGATCATTCTCTTCTTTTCTTCTATTTTTTCCCAACTTTCTGATGCCGCGCATGCTCCTTTTTCTTTTCTTTTCTTCTCTTTCTTTCTTTTTCTTTTTTTAAAATTATTTGTCTGGATGCTTCACACAGGCACAGGGTTCTCCCTTGAACATGTCCAAGGAGATGATGCCCCAACCTGGTCTTGGATGCTGCTCCCCCCCTCAAGCCTACATTTGGGGTAAAGGTGGCTGTTTTAGGGTTTGAATGGGTGTGTTTTAGTTCTCACTTTTTGAGAGGTTCCAAGCCTGTGGAGGTGGTGGTGGTGGTGGCCTTTGAGGAGGAGGGTGTGGAGTGTGGACTGGGATGTGGGGGCAGAGAGAAGGATGGGAAGAATAGGGGTGGGAGAATAGAAGATCTGAGAAAGTGAAAGAGAGAGAATACAGGAGTGTATGTGTGTATATGTGTTGCACATGTTGGTCTTAGGAAGGGTGGTAATGATGGGATTGTCTTGGCATTAGTGCCACACTTTGTGCCCCCAAATATGTACGCAAGCTGAAGACCTATGTTGACTTGGGGTGTTCCCAATTGAGATTCATATTTTTATTGAGATTTGGGTCAAGGAGGAATCCATTCCTTTGCTAGAATCTGTCAAGCTTAGCTGCTATTTTGTTGTGGCAATTTGAAATGTCAACGCTTTTGGTGCAATGGGTTGCCCTCTTTTGGTGGTTTTAGGGTCATGTTGCATCAGTGACATAATTTTGACCTAATTTCTCCACTTATGTTGATTTATTTTGTTTGGTGTCTTTGGTTTTCTCAGTTCACTGTTTGTTATTTTCACTCAATTAAATCTCCCTACTTGCTTAATTTTAAACATTGTTAAATATTGGTGTATTACATTTTCTTTCTTGCAGAATACAAACATGTATATATATATATATATATATATATATATACACACACACAAATGTGTTTATATAATGACAACAAAATGGGGAATGGTGTCATGTGAGTTTTAAAATTATATAAATGTTTGGTTTGTAACACAGACATCTTACTGATGTTTACATGTTTTTTATTAGGATAATTATATTTTCTGTTGTAAATATAAATATACATATATGTATTTTTATAATTATACCATTGCAATAAGATATATATATATATATATATATATACACACACCATTGCAAATATGTAAAGTTTGAAGTTTTAACTGTAATGATAAACATTCAAAACATCATGTGTAGATATATGGTTTTTTTGAACAGTGGATACAAAAACAACATTTTAATACCCTTTACACAAAGATAAGCTAACAATCATTGGGAACATGAATAAGGTCTGAAAGGCTCACTCTCAACCCACCATGGGTGAGCTATCTATGAACCCGAGTGTGAATACTTCCAGCAAAAGATATAATGTTTCATACATATACATGTACACATGTTGGTCTTTGGGTATACCTTTGTGAATCCTTCCTAATCCAAGAGGGGCAGCATGGAGCCCATTCCAACTCATGCAATGGCTCTACATACCCATGAAAGAAACTATCTCCATTGGGACCCACAACCCATAAGTGCAGTGTTTGTTGTTGCTGCTTCTCATGTCCTTGTGTCTCATGTCTTTTGGGACTTGCAGTTACTTGACTTCAGACCAGCCAGTAAAATTGTGGATTCACAATTGAGTCAAGGTACTTTTGTGTAATGGTATATATATACATATATATATATATATGATGTCACATATGATAGATCATAAGTGTCTATTTCAATAAATCAATCTTTAATAATAGTTTCATTATAATATGCAGCTTTTACCTTTAGAAATTTCTTCTACCTATTTAATTAAATATGTGATATTTTATTTAATTTTTTTGAAGATTCAAAACTAATTTTTTGATTGAATGAATATTTTGATAAAACAGAAAAAATGACTTTGTGTTGCAGTTTACTGTAGTTTTTGAATTTATATGTAAATGCGTGTATGGATCTGTATACACACACATATGTATATATTTATATATATATATATATATATATATATATATATATATCACTTTCATTACTAAATAACCTAGTGTAAGTTGAAAAGAAAAGATTTAAATTCATTTTATAATAATTCAGATCATAAAAACTTCATGATAAACCCACAAATGTGTGTATATACATATATACATAAAAGAATAACCTCACAATTATTGAAAGAGGTATCTCTTTGAATTATTTCTATTCTTTTTGGAGATTTCATAAGAAACTCATTGCTATTACCAAAATTAAGATTTAAATAAGAAAATAAATACCTAAATGTGGAGATTGATTGAATCTTTAAAATCTTAGTAACCACAAATAATGACCTTTGAGTAAGAATTTTTTAAAATGAAATTTATAATTGAAAATTATTGTCTATGAAAGTTAGAAAATGATTTGATAAAATAATATTTTCTATCATTTATGCATATATAAAATCTAAAATCTAAAACAAAAATCCTAAATTATTGTCTTAATTTCAAATTTATACTACATATCAAGGTTAAAGACAAATTTTATTTTGAATTGTGTAGCTTCAACTTCCATGTTGTCTTTTCCTTTTTCTTTTTTTCCCAAAACCATGAGATGGTTAATTTTGTTATTAATATTGTTTTATTTTTACTCAAAGCAAGGTTTGGTCAAGGGACTAATTAATTATTTTTTTATTTTTTTTTATTTTTTTTTTCTTACACTTTTAGGTATTGGTTTTATCATATGACTTTATGATATAGGTTGTATACAGACAAGCTTACTGTTTACATGTGTATGAATATGTGTGTATAGTTTATTTTGCATAGAGTTTAAAGCACTGAAAAACCTGTAAAGCCTATCATGAAGGATTTTTTTTTTTTTTTTTTTTTTTTTTTTTTCAGCATGACAAACATGCTATTCATGATGGTTTTGAACAGTTCATCTATTTGTTGTTTGTAATTGATAAACAATAATGCTTTGTGAGTAGAATAAAGTGTTAATATACCTTCATAAAGATGTCGCTCCAGGGACAGTCAATTTCTAATAGTGTTTGCATTATATTAGAGTTGATGATGAAACATAATAGAAAAAGAGTAATACAAAGCTTAAACTCACAGTATTGATGAGTAATATTTATTATTTGCTTCTTACAAAATATAAATTTTCAATACAAACAAATCTCATGAAAATTGTGACTCTTACTGCATGGTTTATTTTGAATTTTGAATTTCCCTGACATCAGTTTTCAGAAGAAGAAAAGAAAAAAGAAGGTAATTTCTGATGTGCATAATAATGTCAGACATCATTTAAAAAGTAGAAAACAGAAAATAATAATAATAATAATAAAATGGAATATGAGTATATTTTTTATCAACAATAGAAAATAATAATAATAATAATAATAATACATGGTTTGAATTTTTGGAGCCTCTTAAAAAAAAAACAAAGATTTGAAATGTGTGAAGACCTAATTATGTTGTATCAAATAAATCTCCATGTCAGGAATTCCATGTCGAATGTCATGATAGAGTTCTATTTATTTGTTTTTTGTAATTTGTCTGCTACACTTCTGTTTGACAAGTGGCACATGCTGACTTGGCATGCACAGCCACCCAGTCCCATCTCCTCATCCTTCCAGTACACATCCACGTGGACCCATTCCTCCTGCCAACTAAAGCCTGTCTAGAAAGAAAGTGGGTACCAACCAAACCGTTAACAAAAAAAAAAAACAAAATTATGTTATAGACATGTTGAGAGAAATTTGTTTCTGTTGGGTTTCTAGAATGCTCTTCAGACACATGAGTTAACGTACTGAATGTCAGCTAGGCACAAGTTTTGCACATGGTCTCTTGCACAGTATAAACAACTCAAACCATAGTATTATTCACACACACACACACACACACACATATATATATATATATATATAGAAATAAATCACTCTTCTAATTCTTCTTCAAGAGTTTCCTTAACAAGATGGAAAGACTTCAAGTTGCAACAAACAAACCTCATGACAAGGAAGTTGATGAGAGATGAAGTTCATTCATGGGATGTGTATGGCTTTTTAAAAATGACCAAGTTATAGGTTCTTCTTCTTGGTCTTCTTTTATATATATATATAAAAATATTTTCTGTGTGTTTTCTATCTAGAATCTTCACAGATTCAACTGAATTCACATTATTGTTCTATGTGCAGTATTGCACAGGATTGGGTTTTGTTTCATAAGGTGAGGTCTTAAAGCATTTATTTAAACAATCAACCTCTACATCTGAAACATTTAACCTCTTTCAAAAGTCCATATGGATAGATTGTTTCATAGTACAGCCTAACTCTTTTAATCTCTCACATCATCTCAACATCTGAGGTTTTTTCTTTTCTTTTTCAAGCATTCATCTACCACCCACTCCACACCTCTTGAATGAAATATGCAAAAGGTTTTATTTTATTTTTTGCTTTGTTAGGTAAGAGCTTGTCTTTTATCAGTTGTCTTCCCAAAGGTAACAACCATGTGTCCTTTTTCTATTTATTCATGACATATATATATATAATATATAAATTTATCCAGTTGGAAAATAAATATTAATGTTATATATATATATATATATTCCAACTGGATGCTTATCTGAGTGCTATTTCGGAAAGTTTGACATCTTTTTAAACACCATGATTTCTGGGGCCTTACCGAAAACTCTGGTTGAGATAACAATGAACGGTTTAAGAAAGCTGATTTGACAGCATCTTGTATGGATCTAACATTTCAGAATATCAATATCCGTTTTTCATCTCTCTATGATTATTAGAATGTGATGACATGCAAAGTTTATCCTAGACTTTATATTTTCAGCATCTGAATTATATCCATTTTTTACTTTTACTTCTTAGTTTTTGAATGTAGTTCTACAAATCATTACGTAGTCTTTGCATTTGTAACGTCAAAGCCACCAAACACATTTACCAAACATTAAAGATCCAGATTCTACTTTTTCTTTCTTTTTTGTTTCAAAAGGGAATTATTTCTAACAAAAAATCGTCGTGCACATTGGAATACTTCCTATCAAATAATAACACTGGCATGGGAAAAAGTAGCTTGTTTACATCACCAAGCAGGAACGAAATTGGTTTCGCTGATGATATCTCTTGAGTTGCTCATTCCTTTTCTTATGTTCTTTTCTTCCTTTTGTTTGCCCATTCAGGAGAGAATTGAACTTTACAGTGGTTAACGACACAGTACCATCCTTTCATTCATAGAATAACCTGCTATTCATCAAACTGCTATTTCTGGCCACTCCTCCTGATAGGCTGAACGACCGTGTGGTACTGTACTAATTATACATAATAAAAAAATGAAAGAAAAAATGAAAAGGAACTCTATATGGATGTTTGAATGCATGCACGATCATGGCATGCTAGCTGTTCGATTGCTTTGTGTCAACAGGTTCTGGACCACCGCCCCTCCATCTCCATATACGAAGTCCTTGGTCCTTGTTTTGAATCATAAACTGACCAATGGAATGTTGAATCCTCATTCTTCCTTAAGGTGATGTGGCAATGGATTTCGGTTTTTGGGGTGTGCCGGGGATGACTCATCCACGGTATTGCACTACTACCAGTCCTGGAAAGCTCATTGGATTTCTGTTTTTGGTCCGTGATTGAATTGTACTCGGCCTGGATAGCTCCAACTCTCTGCGAGCTGTCGAGTTTGCGCCTGACAATTGTCTTGTGTGCTCTCGACTGGTTGATGTGGAATAGGGCAAATGGGTGGATTTGATGGCAGTCGGGGTCATCCTGTCCCACCCCCATACGACACAAGAACCTTGGAGTAATGCAGATTTGGAGCGTGAGAGTTGATCACTGAAGATGCCAAGCTTGAATGACCGAGCTTTGAACACGGCCTTTTTATGAGGTGCAGTACAGGATCCTTCACGACAGGAGAGTGCATATGGGGACAGATTTTGGAATCCGTACCAGGTGATCTTCACTCGCGGAAAACCTTCTCGTAGAAAAATGCGATTTTCTCTTTTGACCCCACTCCAAATTGAGGTTGGTGGGAGAATGCAAGTTGTAGTGAGGTACTGCCCAGCCAACAACGGCCCAGGTGCACCCATTTTAGTAAAAGAGTCCAGCTTGTACTTGTGTATGAAAGAAAGTTTGACATCTGAAGAAATTAGTTAGTCCGTTCAACGCTTTACTCATCAGAGGTACCAAGTTGCTATAAACAAATACTGGTGTTTTGAGGGGAAAAAGGTTAAAGAATTGAGAGATACATCAGAATCAATCAAGAGTAAACAATGAGTTGAACCTTCACATGGATAGATGTAGGGCCAGGCAAAACACCACCTACAATGACCTCAAGAATTCCTAGTATGATTGAATACCAGACTTCTCGAGGTGTCCCAGAATAATACTATAATACCTTTGGTTTATATTAACAACACATTATCACATGTACCTCAAAATCCTTTAAATCTCTGTTGTCTACAGACTAGACAAGGACACAAATCAGTTTTGTGGCAAAAATCTATCATATGACAGTTATGACCACCTAAAAGCTAAAGAAAGGTCAATCTAGCGGACCTGGTTTATCGCTAGCCTAACACTGCTGTTTGTCCCAAGGTTAAGCCCTCATTCAGTGTCGAAGATTCTTATCGACTGTCCTATGTCATTGAAGCAGATGGAGTCAAAAACCAAGAAGATTTCTGATCTTCCTCTATCTGGGTCACATACAAAGAGTAGGAAGATTGGAAGGAAATCAATGTCCAAGCACAATAACATACTCGGACAAATCGCATCCAAAAATCACAGACGCAGCAGCCCGCTTCACTTGGACATAAGGAAATACTCGTCGAAAGAGTAAGACAAAGGAAGGCTATCACCGCTCCAGGTACCTGTTCTTTTGAGGATGGAGGATAGTGATTTGATCAATCTCGATACGGGCATAAGAGAAATCCAGGTTCATGCCGCACAGCGCTGAGATGACTTTCCTCAGAAAAATCCTGCTATCTGACTTTCACAGCACCCCAAGTGGATCCATTTCGGTCGAAGGAGGACATTGTTCTCCCATACCCGTTGACCTCCACCTTTCCCTTCGCAGACGCAGCAGTGGTACACAGGATACATCGCATGGGAGCTGGATCAGGTGAACTATTGTATTCTAATCCATAAGCAGAGTCGTTCATATTGGATCCTGACCGTCGCAAACCTTCGGATTCATCTGAAGGTAGAATCCCCGAAGTGTCATTCAGACAGGTTTCGTGATAAGCGTGAGTGCAGAAGAAGGCCACAACAGCCACGTTTTGAAGTGCCACGGGATCGAAACAAATGCAACAACGTCCACTGCCTCCATAATTAGTGGGCATCCGGCCACCCTTACCACCAGCCTTGTTTGTTCTACTCAAACTTGCAGCACTGACTTTCACAATCTCTCCTCCGTTAGAATCAGACTCATCAGGCTTCTCCATGTCGTATTCTGAACCACCAACTCGGACAGCGTGACGGGCCTCATCATAGTATCGCACGAGCAAGTCGACACAATCTGCCTGTTTCCATGAAATAGTAGTTGGATGAGAATCGGCCATCACGAAACTGATTAAACAGACGCAGAGACTGAGAAGAAGAGAAAGGATAATAACAAACCTTCAAAATGTCGTTGCAGCCTGCACGAAGCGAAGTTTCGGTTCTGTAGTCGGCGATGATTTTCACAAGCCGATCACGCAATCTACAAAAGTTCACGAGTTAACCTTGAAATTTAAATCAGAATTGCAAAAGGTAAGGTCAAATAAGGTCAAGAAGCTTTAGGAGCCTATACTTGGGAATATCAATTTCACATCATACTTATTAAATGACTAAGTACAAATACATTGGAAGTTAAAACAAGGATGAAGGCTAGCACAAACCGAGGAATGGACATTCCAGCTGGAACCCTATTCACAAGATGCAGAGGATCGATGTGGCCCACTGTGTGCTCAAGCAATGAACCCACCTGCCACAAGATCACATTTCTTTGAACGGAAAGAGAAAAGAAAGATCGACTCTGCACATGATGATGTTGAGTCTAATAAGGAGCCTTGATACTCGGAATTATTTACTTACAAATAATCTCCTAAAAGAAAAATATTCTCCATCTCCACTCCATACTGTAGTTAAGAAAAAAGAGTCGTTTTCTAAGGCATGACATGAAGACAACGGTAATGGTGGTGCCAAAAATCGGATTCTGAAGACAAATCCAAAAAAGAAAAGAAAGGACAATAAACGAAAAGAGAGAAAAGGCTATAGAACCATGTCAGGAATGTGCATGCTTTGAGTAATAAGCTCCTCCCACAACTCGTCATCGGCTTGAGACTGAACGAAGCTTACAGCCTGTGCGACAGACAGTTGCAGGATCAGAGCAGTATTATAAATTTTCAGCAGGGTTAACCCCAAACTCAAGGAACAATCCACTTACAAACCAATTTCCAAACGCTTACGATGATTGTTGTTGAGATGACTGGCCAAACAAGGTATTGATTAAGACAATTTTTTTTTCCACTGCGCATGTCAGACACAAAATACCTGCTGTATGTCCTTCAGTTCGTTTATTATCAGACCCAATGCTTCCCGACTGTTGCCCATTCGTCCAAGAATGAAAACTCTTTCTCTGGTTAAGCCCCTTTTGGTACAGACTTCATATGCCTGCAATCAAAAATGTAAAGATAAAAATGAAGGCAATATAACTAAAACACTCAGCTGGAAAGCATACTCCTCCAAAGCTACGTGATGACAGAATGATAAAAAAAAATAAAAATTGTGACAAATATATGTGCATCCCTCAAACAGGCTACCTTGTCAAGACTATAATAATGGCTGCTTCGCAAAAATGGAAGTAACAATCGCGGTTCATAATCTGCATATAGTTCAACCTGCAAAAAACATAAGGCGTAAGAAATTCAACAAGGAAATCTTGATGGTCACTGTGAACAGGGGTTAGCAGTGCTTCATTCAGCGGGATCGATTGCTTAAAGAAGACAGTAAACCTAGACACTGTACGGCATGTCCGTGCAAGTGAAATGGCAAGAACCTGTAAACCATGGTACTCTTTGGCTGCAGTTGGGTCTTTCTCAAACAAGCTGTGAAGATACAGGTGCAGATATTCCCTCAATTTGTCCTTTACATCCTCTTTCTGAAGCTGAGACACAACCTCAGTAGCATCGATACTATCACTCTGGTTGATCAACATTTGGACTGCTCGCTTTCCGTTCAGTTCCATTAAAGGAACCACCTGCAGCATTTTAATGAATTCATAAGACACAGGATCTACATAAACTCCTTCCCAGTTCCTTGACATGATTAAATCACGTTTAAAAACTACAAACCTCTCATGGTGGACCAGTTTAGACAAATGCACCCAAAAGCAAAAATAAAATACAGAGCACCTTGAAGGCGGGCAAATCGCAGAGTGAAGAATAACGAAAGCTGTAATATCAAAAGTGTATCATGGTTGGATCAATCATGTAGCCCTGCAAACCGGCACTCTAGGCATACGAAAAAGAGTTACAAGTAGCGTACCTTATCATGTATGGAACTAAGTAGATTGTGCTGCTCAATGAACTCAAACACAAAGGGCTTTTGCAGCTGCATCGACCAACAGCAAGCAGTCAGTAGTTAACAAACAATTAATACAGCCATACGAGGACATCAGATGAAAATGAAGACTAAATTTTAAAATTCAGATGTGATACAACTCGACAAAAAAAAAAAAAAAAAAAAAAAAAAAAAAAAAAAAAAAAAAAAAAAAAAAAAAAAAAAAAAAACACACACAGAAGTCAAACAGTAGCATACACAAAATGGACATGTGTTTGAACACAAAACTAAAATCATAGCATGTACCTCTACATAGATGGCCAGAGCTTTGGCATACTGCTTCTCAAGCACATAAAGCTCAGCCAAAACCTGTAAATAGCAGACCAGATAAATCACAAGGAAACATAAAGTAAGAACACCTTTGAAACAAAAATAAGAATAAATCACATCGACACTAAAAGAACCGCACTACATGATCAGTTGACAACTTTGGGTCACAGTACATGACGAGGCTATTCTGAATTACTTTTCTGGTATGCATCAGTATGAATTGCACCACATTCCAATGCCAGCATGAGGGTACACTTCATGGGACCTATGATTTCTGCGTATTCTAACAGCATTTAGATATCTATTAAGCAATAAAAGTGCCAATAAAGATGCACAATACGAGCACTAAGCAATCACCTCTTTCAAAGTCAGTGACTTTGAGCCAGTGCTGATTTGTAGTTGAACAGGCGCAATTATAGTTGGAACGGAAAATATAGTAGACGGCCATGTTTTGATTGTGGTGAGCAAGTGGTCGTGATATGCTGGGTTGGTGACTAGTGAATTCAGCACCAACTACAGAAATATCATAAAAAGCATTATAAGTATAAGGACAACTGACTAGCTTTTGTAAACTAACATATTCAAAGCACTGAAAACTTTAGCAAAAGGACATGAAGTGCACTTTTTTGCAAAGCCATAAAAGTACAACACTTCTAAGTCATTGCCAATGCTAGACCAACACAGTATATTAAAGATGAAGTGCTATATTGTCAAGATCATCAGCAGACATGCTTGAGACAAGTGGGTGGTGAGCTGAAGAAAATGCAAACCTCATACACCGTGTCCCGAAGCTGTGGATTGGATGTTGGTATATAAGGAGCCAAACTAGGCAACTGCCGCAAGTGTGCAAAATGAAAAACCCACCTATTTTCACAAGCTCAACGTGACGCCTTAGTAACTAATATGTAGTAGAAACGAAGACACTACTAGTCCCAGTTACAGCGCTCATCAGAACGAACATAGATACCTAGGCACACTACTTTCGGATGAATTTAAAAAACGTTGAATCTGACTAGATCCCTATCTTTCTCAATGGCATGTGAGACTCAAGAGATAATAGATCACACAGAACAAAATTAACTCCTCGGTTGATTGAACAGAAATAATGGTAGGAGTGCTAAATAGTTATTACAAATTGATCAGCCTGTAAGAGAACCCTGATAAATTGCACTTAGTATGCGTCAGACCTGGACGATAGCAAGCTATACTAACCTCTCCCAGGCGGATGCAGAGCCTCGCAGTAGTTTAGGACAAAGCTCTGCAGCTTTATCGTACTGGCGTTCCAGGAGTAGATGGTCGAGGTATCTAGAGCCCACCTGACACAAGTTCCCACTAAACAGCATAAAAAGCGGTGTTTTACTCCTCGTACAAAGAACAGTCCTAAACTCTACATACACGAAAGTCACTGTAAAATGAGTTGAAAATGAACCACTCTAGCTAACAACAGTTGACATCTAAGACTCATCACATAGATTACTCTCATTCAACAGCGATTCAGGAAACATACGCTAAAGACAAGATCACGAGCTATTCATGCATGAACAGTGTGATGCAAAATATTAAGACAACAGCAGAAGAACATTCACAAAGTTTGAAACATAAGAATTCATCGTTTACAAATTGGTCAGCACCCAGCATCATCAAACACTGGAGAACATTGTATACCTCCTCCAACAGCTCCGCTTTCGCATTCCCTTCCTCTACAGCAGCCAAAGCCTTCTCGTAATAGCCATGTTGAAGTAGCCACTTCACATGATCATCTGCATCCCTGTAGGTCGCGTTTGTTTTAGAGCCAATTGTCCACTCCTCGCCTCAACATCTTAGGACTTCAAGACTAATCTCTAACAATTGTATCATCAGAGGAACAGTATCAGCTACGCCAATATCTCTTCGAGAACCCGTAGGATGATAACCACATACCACACGTTTCGGAAACCCTGTGCATTCTAGCACCGAAAACCATCACAGTGCGTCACACAAACCTGGGCCTCGCAAGTACGACGTCTTTTGGAGACACGATATAGTATAGTGACTCGTCACCAGCTGCCCACTGGCCTGCCGCTCCACCACTCACTGAAATCAGGATACATGCACAATCAGATGCTCAGCATTCCATAATCAGATCTTCATCATCAATCCAAAGGAATTGACTGATACAACATGAGTAAATCAAAATAAAATACATCCTAAATCGTACTCACACAGCTCCAGCCTCACAGTTACTACTTTGGCACAATCATCCTGGAAAAGTTGTGAGACAAACGCACCAATAAAAGGAGCATGAGCAAGGACGTAGTCTTTAGCTTTGTAATGCTCATAGCCATGAATAGAAAGTGCATCCGTCGCCAACTCCTCATTCTGCCTTGTTACTATCCGTACTTCTGGCCGTTGTGCATGTCCCTGCAATATACAACAGAAGTGATAGAAGATAAGAGAACATTTCCAAAATCAATGTGTACGAGCGATATTGAGAATGGACCAATCAATATGTCTCGAAGGAGCAGTATTCCACTCGAAAACAGAACACTTACAAATCTATCCAGAAAACCTAAAGAATCGCTGAGATTCCAATACCTGGGATGGAAATGCCGTCGATAGGGGCTCAGCTTCATTATCCTCTTTATCTGGGAGGTAAGCAAGAACCACGAGTTGATCTCCAAATGGTGCAAGTCCCGACACGTAATAGTCTGTTTGCAAAGTTGTCCGTATTTCGACATACTTTGTACCTGGGCCTAAGGTTCCTGCCAAGCCATCCCAGCCTCGAGTTCTGACGACTGCAATCTTGATGCAATCAGCCCAACCTATAAGTAGCACTGTATCATCCTGCAAGAGAAAGAAGAGTAATACAAATTGATATGAAAGATTGGTAGAAATGATGAGGTCAGCAAATGCTTGGTTAGTGCAATCCATTGATGAAAAAAGATTAATCTTATTCACTGCAAGTGAAACGTGCTGAAAAATGACCTGCCAAACAAGAGTAGGACGTGAGAGATTGGCACGCGGCGATCGCTCTATGAAGGTTATACGCTGATGTGAGGCTGTGTCATATACTTTTACGCCAGCATCATTGGTCCAGGCAATGAGACTTGTCCGCCACTTGATAACATGCACAGTCCCTTCACCTGAGTGCAGGATCTAGCACATACAATGCATACATCACCATTCTATTTCTTTTGCCTTCCGTCGCCAAATGCAATGCTGATGACACTACACTACTTGATTGTAAGAAAGTATTGAAAAACTATGGTGCATATGATCTTTATCACTACAGAGAGAAAGGCAGTGAAGTGTGAAATCTCGAAGTGACATTGATGTTGTACCTGCTCCCTGTAGCCTAGCCAGCCTTTGCTGAGAAAGAGGAGCTGTCCAGCAAGTCCTCCTAAAGCAAATTGCTTCGAGCTTTTACGAGCATATTCTGGATCTAGTGCAATGGCCTTCACAGGCCGATGATACTCAAACTTTTCTCTTTCATCCGAATACAGACTGCTGATGACGACAGTACCGTCGTCGGAGCAGCTCCCAACATATTCTCCATCTGAGTCAAAACTCACCTCATTCACTGTCGCTGTGTGCACTCGAAATTCTCTTATCTGTAAAGCGACAGTCTGCACTTAGTGCTTTCACCAGAACCGAAACTCTTCAAGCAAGCTGTTCGAAAACTGTGATGAAACAAATAAAGAATCTCTGAAGAGCAAGTAAGCATACAAAGACAGGGGCGAATTTTAAACCTGGTTGCCCTGAAAATCCAACAAATGCACAGTGCCATCATGCGTTCCAAGAGCGATCATCCGTTCTCCGACAGTGAGGCATGCTGCGGCATCCGACGAAAGCAGCGATGGCAAACTCCCTCCCAGCCGCTGATACTTGAGCCGGGGTTCCTCCTCTTCTCCCTCTCCCTCATCGTCATCGTCCCTGGAATCGTCGTCACCAAGCTCGTCGTCCCCCTCCCCTCCATCCTGCACAGGGCTTGGCCTGGTAGGCAGGAGCGACGCCTCGATTTTACTGGACACCGCCATCGCCTCTCTCTCAAACCCGCTCCTCCCAATCCTCCACAACCTCAAATTCAATTCCAACCCGCTCGGCCTCTTCTCATCCCTACGCACTAATTAAAAACCTCGAACACTATCGCAACTGGACACCTCAATCAAAACATGAGTTCCCACCGTAGGCCATACAAACTCAGATTTCTCTACATCAATGAAACGCCCGTGCTTGAAATTCACAACCTAAACCTCAATCTCACAAAAAGGTGTTCCGCAGCTCACTCTCGAGAGTCGTGAGATCAATGCAAAGGGATTTCTGCCAGAGACATTGCAGGAGAGATTTGTTTGGTTGAGCAGGAAATTGAAGGAACGGGATAAAGCAGAGGATGTCGCTACAAGAGAGAGTAAGCATTCAAACGAAACACGAGATTAGAGGGCGAGACGGGAGGAAAGCAGCCAGAATGTCCCGAAGGGGGAAAACTCTAAACCAGGTGTGAAACGGGGTATGAGATGTGTGTTGTCCGCCATGGCCAGCCAGGCTGCCACTCCCGCTACATGGCACTCTCCCTTCTCTTTCGGCCCCACTTCCTTTCACTTTCCCTCCCCCCCATTACTTTAACTTTCTCAGCATCCACTTTTTCTTTGGTTCATAGACTTGCAAATTAAATTCATATTTGAACACGTTGAGAGAGGTTAATTGTTGCAGTGATAGTATCAGTGTATGTGTGTGTACAATCTTTTCTTCTCCTCTTCTCTAGTGAAGATAACTAAACGAATTAGCCACTTAGAACTTTTCAATAATTTCTGAGCAGTAGGACTGGAGGAAATTACAGCTTGGAGCTATTGTCTCAAGTTGGGATTATAAATCTAGAATGTTTTAATCGAAATTCTTTTTGTTGCATTCTTAGCTAGGATGATCGAGGCATGAGAGCTAAATATTAAAACACGGATAGTATGATATTAGTTAATAATAGCACGGCTAAATTATATCATGTATGCTCACCGTTATTTGAGATGATAATCTTGCAAACTTCTTTATACTTATGATTTTTTTAATTTTTAAGACAGCTTCAAAATAGGATTTTCATACCACGTATAATTACCAAGCAGAGAAAATTCAAATGTAATGTATTAATTTATTTATTTACATGTAGGCAATTAACTTTTAATTGTATACTGGTGGAATAAACTAAAGTCCAAAAGGTTTATCATTTGTCTTGTGTGTTTTCTTTCATTTTTTTCATTTTTTAAATAATACATACATACATACATACATACGTATTTGATGGTAAATATAAAAGAAAAATAGATTGGTGAATAATAACAGTATAAATTATAAATTTATTTTAATAAACATGATTTGCTTATAATCATAACATTTCATGACCTTTGACACACTTTGTTTTCTACACAACATCTATATATATATATATATATATATTACAAATATCTTGCTATCTTGTCAATACAAAAAAAAATCTGTTGACTACTCCTAACATTTATATTGGTTACATTATAATTCTTAAGAAAAATTCAATCAATCCATGCATTCAAATAGTTATTGTTTCGTCACAATTTTCTAGATTTTATTCTTCAAAAAAATGTAAGTAAAATACTCAATGTGTAAATCAATCAAACCTTGCTTGAACAAAGTTCTGCATTCATAAAAATTAAATTACCATCATTTTTTAAAAGTATACATCGTTAGTTTAATTTTTCCATCACCAAATAATGCTATGTCTCGCTACTTGTTTCACTATCTTAATTTTTTTAATAATATGAAAAAATTAATAATAAAAGACATTTTGAAGGATGTTAATCTCTTTGAAAGGGAATGAATTTCAAAGAATATGATATAAACTGTTCTTAAAACATGAATTTAAAACACTGTTACTAACAATGTACTGATTTTCTTAAATTTTTAATTTAAAGCACTGATGAACTGTATTTTTAAAAGTAAATTAAAATGCATAGACAAATTGTAATGCATAAAATTAAATTACATCAACATTTTTTCAAGAAAATATTTAAATGTGCATATATAGAAGTTTTATTTTATAATTTTGTCGGTAACAAATTCATAAGATAAGTATTTATATGTGTTTATGTTTCTTTTGACTCTACATATGAATATACACACACTAAACAATCATTTTTTTATTTCATTATCTTGCAATAATTTTGATAAAAAAATTAAATAATACAAAATATCTATTGTAATATATTTAAGAAATTAGTGAAACATAAATCTATAAATACTTATTATTTTAAAGCTATATAAATATAAATATATATATATATATATATATATATCATAGAAATATAAAAAAAACTATAAAATCCCAAAAAATAAGATTCGTGATATTTTTTGTTTTATTTTTACATATTTGATTTACTATTAATTATTTTTAGTAATCATTTTGGTATTATTTTTATTTAATAATAATAATTATTTTAATAAATAAATATATGTGGAGTATCAATAATAGATGTTTGTGTAAGTATTTGTTGCATTCTATAGATTATAATTTGTAATTATATTATTTATTATCATACATCAATGGTTTAGTTTAGCATATTATTTTATAAATAAAACATAACTCATAATGTTAGAAGTCATTAAAACCAAAAATATAACTATAATTGTTCATAAATAAATGAATTTTTTATGATAATTTTTTTGAAAGAAAACTATGATAAAATAATGATGTCATTTTTTTATTAAAAAAATATCAAATTATATATATATATATATATATATATATATATATAGTCTTTGAACTATCACTAAATTCAATAACTTGGTTTTGAATCAAAATTTCTTTAAAAATAAGAAAATTTAAAATTTCCTATGTTTGATTAAATATAGCTAGATTATACCATATTGATGTAAATGCTATTCTATCTCTTAATTATAATCATAAGAACAAGATTAATAACTCTTCTAATTCCAAAGATGAAGATTAGCGAATACTAGCTTTTCTAAGACTAGAAAGAAGAATGGACATGAAGAAAATATTAGCAAGAAGAAAAATTGAAATTTTTATCCTATAATGTGTAGCTATTGATTGACTATAGCAAAACCCTCTTATTACATAATTGCATACATAATATTATATTTACAAACTCTATATAAGAGAGTCTAAGATTTTAGATGATTTCTTTGGCTAAAAGTTAGATTTTGTATTTTACAAGCATCAATTCATTATATTTTAGATTCCAATAGAACAAAAGTTGATGGTATTTGTATACTTATTGCACTAAATTTTGTACAATTAATCAAGAATGTAAACTCACTTATGAACGATAGAGCCTAATGGATTATTTTCAAAAATTTCATAAGTCAAAATATTGATAGTTTTTTTTTTTTTTTTTTTTTTTTTTTTTGCATTTAAAAAATATAAAGTATAAAAATCATGTATAAATTGGTCTCAAGTCTAAGAGGCTAGGATCCTTGCAAATCCTATACAATAGAATATATATATTTTTTTGCTACCAAATAATCTCTTAAATTTAATTTTCTACACTTTATATAGTTTATTTGTATAAAATATGATTATAGAAAATTTAGATTTAAAGAGATGCAATTATTTTTAAAGACAAAGTTTGAGATAATAAACACATATAAAAACAAATATGAAATAATGCCATCAAACATGGCATGATTAAATTTAAAAAATACTTACATGAAAATATGAAACAAATAGAAAACTAAAGGCTTCTCAAAAAGGTGGGGCAAATCGTGGGAGAATTCTTAAAAAGATGAATAATTTTTGTAATCTAATTATGCATTGCAAACCAATTTTAAAATCTAAATTGTCTACACAATAATAATATATGTCAAAGTGTATTGTTCTTAGTCATGCCATGGCAGTAGGATGAAAGGGACTAAAATAAGATGTACATTATAACATTCATTAATCCAGACCATAAAATATATCCCATTTTGTGTTAAAAAGAAAACGAAAGAGAAATAATATGATAGAAAGTTAAATTATTGCTTCACTTTTGATAGAAACAATGAGATATGTAGCCAATCAGAAATGGTTTTTGTCTCCTTTGATTTACCCCATTAATTTATCCCCATAAGCTGTTTTATACAAGAGATATGCCATTTTTGTATCATAAAAGGAAAGGTAAAAAAAGAAACCCACAAATTGTGAACAGAAGAGCGGATGAGAAGAACGTGAGAACGGTGGAAGATTTCTCACAATTGCACAGCTGCCAGCTCAGCCGAAGAAGGACACACTGTCCACGCAAGCATGCAGACGTGGACGCCAAGTCGAGTCCACTTCGCAGGGTCTTCGTCGCCCCCTCCCTCACTCCCTCTCAATGGGACGGACCCTGCGCTGCACTTCACGTGCACTTCAGGAATTGCTTGCAGCGTTGCAGCGTGAGACTTGGGCCCCCTTTGGTTAATTTGCCATTTTTGTGGTTGGGATGTTGGATCTCTCTCGATGAGGTTTGTGGGGTTCACCGCTACTTGTTAGCTGGATTGATTGGTAGATTGCGAGGAATTAGCGTTGACTGCGAAGTTTGTTGGCATCAGCTATGGCGGGAGCCGTGTCACGACGACCTAAGAGGCCAATCTCTGCACCATCGCAGGCCTCGGCGCCGGATGAGTCGTCGGAAGAGATTGTGCGAGGGTCCAGAGCATCGCAGCATGGCAAGAAGGTGAGCAGGGGGAAGGCAGCTGCAGATTGGATGTCTATGCTTGTGACACTCCTGTTTGCGACGTGGCTCATTTTTCGCTACCAGACGGAGATATTACCTTCTCCATTGTCTGAGAAGGCTGCTGGGGTTAGAGGCTTTTCTGAGGAAAGAGCTTACAGGCATGTCGCAGCGCTTTCTTCTTTGGGACCACATCCTATTCGCAGTGATGCTCTCGGTCATGCTATTCAGGTATGATGATACAGCTTTCATGTGTGCGTGTGTGTGTGTGTGTGTGTGTGTGTTTGTTTGTTTGTTTTCAGTAGCGTTTCAATCCACGAAAATTGATTTTGTTCAAATAATAATCTCCTTTCCATGCGACTGATGTTATCGAAGGATATGTAGACGGGGGAGTTAGTTTCAAGGTTGCTCTTTCTAGTATCTTATTTCGAGAACCGTGTGGCGTGATTTTTTTTCTTGCAGTACGTGATAGACCAGGTTACGGAGGTACGCGATACAGCGAATTCGGAGGTCGAAGTGGAGGTAGATTACTTTCATGCGAGACCAGGAGCGACACAGCTTACAGGAGGACTTTTCAAGGGAAAGAGTTTAGTTTATTCTGGACTGAAGCACGTTGTCGTTCGATTACATCCTAAATATGAGGACAGTGCCCTGGAGAATGCAATTTTGATCTCTTCGCACATCGACACTGTTATCACCGCACCAGGTGCTGGGGATTGCAGCTCATGTGTGGGTGTTCTGCTTGAATTGGTGCGGGCGTTATCCCATTGGGGCCAGGGCTTCAAACACTCCATCATATTTCTCTTCAATACAGGTTAAGTGAATGTTTGCTTCGAAAACCTTTTACTTTTCGCAGCGTCTCACCGTTTTGCATTTGATTATCTAGGGTTGTTAAGTATCAACGTAGATTGTGGATTTTGCAACTTGTACAGATCTCTGAGCTGTCTGTGCCTCATAATAAAATCTTGATTTAGTAGCTCTTGCTGCATGTATAAATTGTGGAGTTGGAGGCCCCTCATCGTATTTGTTTCATCTATGGGTTACACGTATTCACTAAGCAATATTGAGTCATGCAGGTGAGGAAGAGGGTTTGATTGGTGCGCATAGTTTCATGACTCAGCATCCATGGAGAGGAACGATCCGTGCAGCAGTAGACTTGGAGGCTTCGGGCATTGGTGGTAAACATTGGCTGTTTCAAGGTGGTCCGGATGCTTGGCTTATTGAGACCTATGCGAAGGTAGCCAAGTGGCCTGCCACAATGATGCTAGCTCAAGACATATTCCACTCTGGTTTGGTGAAATCAGCCACAGATTTCCAAATTTTTAGAGAAATTGCAGGCTTGACAGGGCTTGATTTTGCTTACATGGAAAATTCGGCTGTTTACCATACCAAAAACGACAACTTGGGGCTTTTGCGACCAGGGTCTCTACAACATTCTGGAGACAATATGCTTCCTTTCTTACGTGAAGTAGCTACATCATCAGAGCTGGCATCCCGTAATATGACATATCCAACAGGATTTTCCAACATGGACGTTGTTTACTGGGATATATTGGGGTGGTACATGGTGACTTACTCTCAGGGTTTTGCCAAGCTTCTGCACCACTCCATTATCTTTCAGCTTATAATACTTCAAGTTAGTGCTATTTCTCTATCAGGGATTTCTTCCCTGGTAGCCGCATGCTTAGCTTTATTGACCATCTACTTCACATGGTGCTTTGCCATAGGTTTCGCTCTCGTTGTTGCAATTCTTATTCCATCTATAGCCAGTTCGGCTGTTCCATTCTTAGCGTCCCCGTGGTTAGTTATACCACTGTACTGTGTTCCGGCTACCATTGGCGCTTTGATTGGTCATCATTTTGGTCATATGCTTCTTGTTTGGTACCTTTGCCATGTTGATGAAGAGGAAAACAAGGCCCAGTCAAAGTCAGACCAAGTTGCTTCAGTGGAAGGCCTTGTTGAAAAAGTTCCGCAAACAGTATTTTGGGAGGCAGAGAGATGGTTGTTCAAGGCGGCGATTATGCAGTGGCTATTATTGCTTGGAGTAGCAACATGGGCAAAGGCAGGGTCTTCCTACTTAGCTCTTGCATGGGTAATTGGCCCTACTATGGCGTATGGGTTGCTTGAGGTTCGCCTCTCATCTCGACAAGTATTGAGGCAACTACGACATCTTACGTTTTGGATTGGTGTGCTCATTCCAACCGTCTTGACGGCTTTTCCATTCTTCCACTTCCCTCTTGCACTTACCAACATGCTTGTGAACTTTGACAGGTAATATAAGTGAATTCAAACCAAGTTGCTATCTGAAAAGTATATTGTTTTTAATCTTTTTAGTGGCTGAAAGGTCTCGCCGTGATATGCTAACAGAAATTTGATTTGCGAACAGGAATCCTGGAGGTTTGCCGGTGTGGCTGGGGAGCGTAATGATAGCATGTTTATGTACGGCAATTACGGTCTCGATACTTGTGTACTTGCTCCCCTATGTTCACCGTTCAGGAGGGCTTCCATATGTTCTCGGAGCACTAGGAGCTGTTCTATTAATAGCATTGACAGCTGTTACTCTCAGCATTTTCCCTGCCTTTACTGCAGAAGTCGGTCGAGGCATCAATGTTGTTCATGTTATTGATACTGATGCAAAAGATGTTGAAAGTGCTGCAAAATCATTTATCTCTCTGGCCTCTGTAACCATGGGCAGATTGGACGAAGAAGCAAAACATACGGGTGATTTAAACCTTCTGTGTAATCAAAACAGTACTCTTGACTTTGTAACTTATAAGGTGAAATATGGATGTATCAAGCCCGTCCCGCTGGATGAAAGTTTGTGGGAGGCCCGACCTTCCTTAGTGGTGGTCAATGATGAAAAGGATCCACCAAGAGTGACAGTTGTACGCCTGAATGCTGGAGAAGCCTCCCGTTGGTTTCTGGCGATAAATTCAAACAAGATATCAGAGTTTCAGCTAGAAGCTCTTACAGATTCTTCATCTGCACAAGATCCGTTGGTACCGGTCACGAAGGCATTAGGAGTCGATGGTTGGCATCATATTCAATATAATACAGATGCCAGTGGTCCCAGAAATTTCTTGCTCACCCTTCATTGGTCAGAGAATGATACTGACGAAAATGTTCTGAAGCTTCTGAAGTTGCGCACAGATGTTGATCTCACAACACCTGAAGTAGCAAAGATGTTGGAGAATCTTCCGAAGTGGTGTCTAAGCTTTGGAAAATCGACGTCGCCCTATTCATTAGCGTACTTGGCATCCTTGCCAGTTGATTTGAACAAAGAACTCGCAACTCAAGCAGCTTAGACTTGGACCTATAGCTTTTGGCCCCGCTAATAACTTTCAAGGTAGTGCACGTTTTTGAAAGACGGGACCCCAAAATGGTGCGTGCTGAATGAATTCAGGAAATGCTGTAGAGGTGATAATTGGCATTCAACTATGTCGATGACTCCATTTTAAAGCACACTGAGGGTTTATCATTCTGCTGCTGGCTGTTCCCTGCCTTGCCTGTCGTAGCTGCTGTGGTACGCATGAGAGTTGGTATTCAGTGTTGTACAGGAAATGCAGGGGCGACGTTGAGGCAAACATAGTTTCTGTCACCGCTTTGAAACGTTGTGGCGGCTGTATTTGAAATCATTTTGCAAGGTCGGTTTGGATTGTACAATAAACTCCATATTTACCAGTATGTGTAATAGCGATCATGTGTATTATAAGTGTTGAAGATAAGCGGCTGTCAGGGAGGATATGAGCCATATGAGGAGATGCAGTGTGGATAGAAACTTTTATCAGCAGGTATGGTTTGTTATCATGTGAAAGGGCTCTAAAGACATTACTAAGAGGCAAGTTCTATGAATCCCGAATACTTTGCCTTGAATATTCATTTTGCAATTTCATGCGAAGTCTTTGAGTTTGACCTCCCTTAGCAAAGAGTAGGTCTTTGATTGAGATGAAATGATTCTACACATATAGTTTTTGAGCTTTTAAGTTTCTTTTGAACTTACTGCAATGCACTATCTAGAGATCTTGTGTATTCAGCATCGAAACATCTTTTCGTCAAATTTGTATTCTTGAGCATTTAGGCAAGGTTTGATTTGATCACATTAGGTTGTAACATGAGCTATATCTTGGAAGCTCAGGATGGTGAAATTCAGAACAAGGCATTGACATGTATGGACTGAATTGTGCAAGCATAGCATCCAGGCTAAGTAATTCTTTACTTCAACTTCCACACTTGTGAACCCACAGAACGTTGTCACATGTGGTGCTCTCATGAATGAATTGAACATTTTTCTGAGTTATGTAATTGTGTAACAACTGAAACTAAGCATATAGTCTGAATTCATTATCCTTCTAATGCATGAATTAACTTGCTCAAGGTTAAGCATGGTCTTTCATTCACAACTAAGTTCTATTTAGAGGAAAACTTATTGATCTTGGTCCTTGTCGTTTCCAATTTGGTACCACTTTTCTTTACAATTCCTAAAGAAATATGTGTTACACATATAGTTGGAAAACACTTTAATTAATATCATTTAATCTTTTTTTCTAAGGTGAAAATAAAATGTGAGTTCTATGATGCAATATAAATACCAATAAGTTTTGTCAATATTAGAATATTCTTGTAATTAAAATATTCTTATAATTGTTTCTTATATATATTTTTACATATGTTTTTAATTTTTAATTAACTACTATTGAGTTTTATAAGAAGTGTTTTATAAACTTATTCTTTTTTAATGGAAACACCTATTATTTGGCCAAATAAATAATTAAAAAAAATACTATATTGATATATTATATACAACATTTATAATAATGTATTTTTCACTTATTACTTATTAAAAACATCTAATAAACAAGCAACTTGTTAGTTACTTATTTTAAGCTAAAGGAACTAAAATAATAGATATATGCATTTGTTTGGCCAAATAATAGGTGTTTCCAATAAAAAAGAATAAGTTTATAAAACATTTCTTATTTGGATCTACCAATCTTTTAAATATGGTGGATCCCTATTGCTTTTTGAGATTAGATTTTTATAATCATTCTTGTAAAAAATCAATTAATGGCAACAATACACAACAATGGCATCATATGATATTATTAGCTTATTTTTAAGTGGCATGTTGATAAAAAATTCTAGCAAATGATAGTATCTTTGGTTTTTTTTTTTTTTTTTTTTTTTTTCTTCTTTTCTTCTATCTAAGACTTCTTGTTTCTTTGTTGGAATTTGTAATAAAAGTGCATGTCAAAAAAATTCAATTTTTGTATAGTATATTTGATATATAACTTTTAAATAATGGATATCTATCAAATCCTATGTATATGTTTATTAAGAGTACTTGAATTCGATTGTTGTATAGGAAAAGACATTACTTGTATAATGCTTGATTTTGTAACTATTGATACATTGAGTTATGTTATTTTTTTTGTATTTTTTCTAATAACAACCATCTTAAGAATGTCCTTTAACTTAGTACATGATTATTTTCTAGTTTCATATGAGGTAGTTGGCATTGTTTGTATTAACAATTCCATTACTATTATAACAAGGGTTAGATGCCTCAACTAAAATACAAATAAGAAAAAACTAACCTAAACAAAAAAATATTGTAAGAAACCTTAGCTAAAGAATTAGAGGTTATTACTAATACTTTGCTTTGATTGGATGATGTACAAAATTGGGTAAAAAAATGGGTAAAAATTGAGTAAAAATTAGATAGAATCAATTATTTATGTTATTCATAACCTCTTTGTTCTTGTAATAGAATTTATTTTGAAATCAACCATCGAGAATATTCAAGAATCAATTCTTAAGTTTATTTTAGAACCAACTTTTGATCATTATGTAACCAAATTGTTGTTAAAAATTTCTTAAACATTCGATTATATAGATTTTGATGCTTCATCTTAGCATAAATAAAACAAAATTTAAAATTCAAAAGTAAAATTTTCAAAAACTTGCCACTAAATTTGATGCACATGACCAATTTATATTTGATTTTATCAAGAATTATTTTAATAAGCCAATTTTTGTAAAAAAAAGACAATATACTATATTTTTATTCATATTAAAAAAAACTTCTATCTTTATAATAGATCATAAATAAATCAAAGTAAGGTAGAATAGGTAGAAAACCAATATAATTACCTTTTTAGACAAAATTAGATGTATTTTTTTAAAAATTTACTTAAAAAATTGTTAAATAAATACTTGTGAAATTGGCTATTTATGAAATAGAGTTAAAATCATATCTTAAGATACAAAAACAATGGCATGTATTAAATAAGAAGATATGTTTAGAGATTAGAAAGTGAAATTAGAGATTGTGTTTTTAAAATATTCTAAGAATGTAAGATTTTTAAAATTATAATATAAAAAAAGGTTTTTAATGAGGCAATTGAAGTTATTGTTTTTTGAGTAATGTAAATTTGAAGGTACCAAAGATTAGTGTGATTTTTTGATAGATGTATCAAACTTTATACTTGATTTTTATTAATTTTTTTGTGAATACTTTAATATATAAGAAAAAAACTACTATAATTTTTGTATTATTTTTTATAATAAAATTGAAAAAAATTTAAATTTATTTATTAGTAGATATAAGAATTAAACAAATTGAGGCTATTTTCTAATTTTTAGATATTTGACATTTTGAATGTTGAATGAAGCAAAAAAATTAAATGCTAATGTAAGATATTATATTGAAGTTATATATGAAGTTTAAATAGAATTTAATAGCTAAATTATATAATTTAATAATTGAAGTTCTTCATAAAGTTTAAAATTAAAAATAAAGATCCATCATTCTAAGATTTATTGATTTCTTTTTTAATTTGTAAGTTGTAAGTTTATATATGACTTATAAAGCTAGTGATGTGAAAATATTTAAATTTATTAAATATAATTTCATCTCTATTTAATTTCACTAATTAAAATTTTACATATGCTTAGAAATTGTTTGTATTGCTTCAAATTTATAAGGATTTAGGATTTAGGATTTGATAGGATTACATGTTTAGTCTTTGATAAGATTTAGGATTTAGAATTTAAAAAGATTTTAAGATCAAAGATTATAAAATCTTTTAGAATGTAGGATTTAATAGAATTTAGGATGTAGGATTTAATAGGATTTAGTATCAGAAATGGAATTAGTAATTTGGATAAGATTAGGATTTGGTAGCATTAAAAATTAAAAATTGATTTTCAATCAATACTATTAGGATGTTTGTAGTTTAGATCCTAGTATTTATTTATTTATTTATTTATTAGATAGACAAAAATATTTTTATCATTACTTTAGAAATTATCAATGGATTTTATTATTTTTTCTTAATATAAGTACTTTGCTCTTTATAGATGCAATAATTTCAAATATATGTGTAGGATCATTTTTGATTTATAGTGTGAAATTCGACTAAGTATCATCATAATTTTTTTAGATATAGAGGTTTTTTTAAGAATTTTTTGTTGTATTTATTGAATACTTATTGGATATCAAATTGATTTTGAAATCAAAATAAATATAAAAAAATGGTCAAATAATATCTTGGAACACAATGCATAATCTATGGTTTATTTGCAAGCTTATCTAATTAACATTGACACATGTTTATTTAGCAAATCTAGTATTGATTATTAAGTTTTATAGATCTAAACTCGTAATTAAAATAGTATTTATTCTAAAATTCAAATATTAGGAATATATAAATATAAGGAAATAATACATCTAAAATCATATTAAAAAAGGTAACTTTTATATTTATATGTGTTTTGTTTTTAAATATTAATATATGTATTGGTTTGAGGACAACTAATTCTTATGTGTTTTATTTCTAAATATTAATACAAGTAGCAATTTGAACACAATTATTTTTGAATTTTTTACCAATTATTAAAAAAATATCATATTTAATAATTTTTAAAAGAAAATAAACTATAAATTGGAAATATAATTATTGTTACAATTATGTATTATTTTGTGCAATATTTTTAAATTTTTTTTAGTTATTTAGTTAGTTATTTTTATTTTTTTATTTATTTATATTATAAATTTATTATTTTAAAAATTCTATTGGATAAAAAATTTCTTCATTATATTGACAAGTTGTCAATTTTTTCTATATCACAAGAGTCAAGGCCAAACTTTAAACATTTTTAATCATAGATTTCAAATAAAAATTATAATCCTTATAATTGATGTCTTAAATCATTATCCAATAGTTCAAATGGAGTTACTTCTGCTTAAGAAATATGCAATAGTGCATTTCTATGAATAATTTTATCACATTGTGTCAAGTATTTGTTGCGCAATGCATAGTAATAAGATTTCTCTAAACTAACAAGTATCAATATGCATCATGTACAACAAATTAGTAATGTATATCTTTGTAAATTAGACATGTACAATTTCTTTTAATAATATACATAGATATACAAAGGTACTCCATCATGTACATCAATACACTAATAATATATATATATATATATATATATATATATTTAAATATCCTTTATTTTTTCTAAAGTTTACTTTTATAAGACATATCATGTCTTAGGGACATAAGAACAATTCTATCTTAAACAAAGCTAATTGAGTATTAAAAAATAATACAATAATACTAATAGGTATTCTTAAATGCCAATGTAAATATAATTATTAAATTTTTTAAATATAATAAAATATTTTTGTATTAGAAGATGCAAATCTACTAGGATTGATTTTATTATTATAATTAAAAAAGGGAAATGTTAAAATGACCCACATGTCTAAACCATCGTAGCACCCTCTCAGCCCCGTCCTCGTTCTCTCCGTTACCGCAGCCCTGTCCCCGTTCTCCCGTTCCCCCAATCCCGTCCCCGTTCCCCCCGCTCCAGTCCCTGTCACCCAGCCCCGCCAGCCTCCGTCCTCGTTTGGGCAAGGTCATTGCGTGGAAGTCATGGATTGGTCCTGTACACACTTGGCTCGAAGTTCAGGGCGGCTCAGCAAAGCTTCGGAATTCGGGTGCTGCAATTGAATTAGAGCATGTGGATCGTGAGCAC